ATCAAATAAAATATGATCCGACTCAACTGCATAAGCAACTCTCACACACGCAAACGTCTGTATATAAACATTCAATCGAGCGAGCGAGACAGAACTATACACTGCAACGCAGCGTATTGCTGTCCTTTTCTTATAACATTCACGACAAACCGTGATTTGTGAGAAAAAAATGATTTTACAGTTTTACGAGTGAAAAGTGTTGCCGAGGCATTTGTTATTTGATTTTGAACTATTTGTGTTCTTTATTTTTTTCTTTTTTTCTTTTTTGCATTGAATGCATTTTTTTATCTTTATAACACAGAATATACGCAATATTGTTATATTGAGTGCACATGCAGTGTGTTTGAATGTCGAATTGTGACTAAAGCGAATTGTGGTCATGTACCACAATTTAAGCGGATCACTTTTAAGCCGCGACTGCCGTATCTTCCCTTTTTGTTTTAAACTTAATAAATTAAAACCTATTCTATAACCGGCTATTCCAAAGTTGCCCTTCGTAACGCAGACCGAACGCGCTAACGCCATAAGCTCCTCCAAATATACATCATTAACCGCTAATCAATGTCAAGACACACCGTACGGTCGCCGGTAGCGTTAGAACGCCTAAAGATTAACACCCACGGATATGTAGCTACGGTAGCTATACTAATTCCATTTGGAGCGATTTCGAAGGGCCTCGCTTTGCGGCCGGGAAATTTATGGCAAGGGACGGCGTGTGTTTCGGATCATCTAACAGTAGAACGGATGTGGCAAACCGCTGAAAATTTTTTGTTTCGCCACCATAGCGATGACGACCTTTGCGTCCGAGTGGTTTGTACGCCGGGTTTCATGGTGTCGCCGACTCGAGAGGTCCCGGGTTCGAATCCCGGTGGGGGCAGATGTTTGTGTGATGAACATGAGCATTTTTACTCCAGTCATGGATGTTTAATATGTATTTCTATAAAAATACCTATATACTTATATATGTACAGTATATGTTACCCTAGTTACCCTAGCATCCCATAACACAAGCTTTATAGTGCTTAACTAGCAAACCAGTGAACCAAATGTTCACCAAAACCTGATTTCTCGAAAACCGGAAGTGCTACGTTACTCAAATCCGGTTTGTAGTCTTATCAGACTATTCTTAACTTATAACTTAAATATTCTCTTTATCTATCTCTTACGGTTTGGCCGCTGAAACAGCACCACAGACAGACGGACGGACTTGTCTAATAGATAAGAGATTTGGGGCTAGGCTAATTGGTGTGTGTTGGAAATATTTATTTATTTTATCTTATCCTCTCGTTCTTGCATCGGTGTTCCGCACAGGCGGGCACGCGCTGTGCGGCGGGCTCGCGCGGACGTCACCTAAGGATTTGTGCGAGGATTTAGCCATCGGAGTTATTCAAGTAATTGAAAATACACCCCCTGATATATGTGCGGTCGAGGTGCTCCATTCTATTTGTATCGAATTTGCATGTACGTTGGTTAGGTACGTGCTGTTATGTTATTGATAATTTCAGACATACTTACTTACGAGTACTTACTGCTGCGGCGCAACGATCCGAAGTGGATCTTGGCCTCCGACACAAGATGGCGCCATGCTCTGCAATCCCGGGCTAGGTCCCGTCAGCCGTCGGCACCCAAAGACTGCAAGTCCCTCCGCACCTCGTCGCTCCAGCGGTATCTGGGACGTCCAACGGGCCGTCGTCCTAACGGTCGCCCCAAATACGCCCTTTTCACGGCTCGATCCTCTGCCATTCTCTCTACATGTCCGAGCCAGCGAAGTCTAGCTGCTTTAATTTCTCCTATGATGTTGGGCTCGGACACTAGATTTTCCAGCTCGATGTTCGTCCGCACTCTCCAGCTACCATCCTCTCTTTGAGTCGGCCCCAGGATCTTCCGCAGAATCCTTCTTTCGGCGACCAGCAACTTATTCTCCTCTCTAAGGGTTAGCGTCCAAGCCTCACAACCGTACATCAAGATCGGTCTAATCACCGTGTTGTAGATCCGAATCTTGGTCTTTCTTAGTAATAGCTTGGAAACCAAGACCTTGTGAAGAGCAGCTGCGCGTTTCAGACATAGTGCGTTTTAAACTTTCATTGTCACTAACATGTAGTAATTTATGTTTAACGGGATTTCTTCCATGTATTTTGTTCTTACGAGTTCCCGATATTTCGGCACTGTTGCAATAATCAATTACTCCGTGATCATGGCGCTTGCAGTGCCGAAATATCGGGGACTCATAAAAAACAAGATATATAAGAAAATGTTATCGTTTCGTGGAGAAGGTTTATTCACCAAATAACCTTATCGAAAACTAATCGTATCCTAATTAAATTGACGACCTCAGTGGCGGAGTGGTATTCACGCCGAATATCAAGGTGTCGCATACTCGAGAGTCCCGGGTTCGAATCCCGGTGGGGACAGATGTTTGTGTGATGAATACGAGCATTTGTACTCCAGTCATGGATGTTAAATATGTATTTTCTATATCAATATACTTGTATATGTATCAGTAAATGTATTATATCCGTTACCCTAGTATCCCATAACACAAGCCTACAGAGCTTACCTTAGGGCTAGGCTAATTGGTGTATTTAAAAAAAAATATTATTATTGTACTTGTTATGTTTAAAAGGAGCAGATCGGAATAGTTATCTTGTACTATATAAAAATAAGTCGGGTTTTCCTTCCTGACGCTATAACTCCAGAACACACGAACCGATTTCCACGGTTTTGCATTCGTTGGAAAGGTCTCGGGCTCCGTGAGGTTTATAGCAAAGAAAATTCAGGAAAAATTAAAAAAAAATCTTCTTTTAATCACCAAACGAAATGTTACATAAAACGAAGCCATCTGGTGGCGAAACGGAGTTCGCCGGGTTTGCTAGTTGGATCTAAAATAATATAATGGAAGGTGACTTCAAAAGTATCTCTGAAGTAATTTTTCACCTCGAACACTTTGTAAATAATAAAACAGGCAGATAAAAACAGCCCTTGCTGAGTTTCTTGCCGGTTCTTTTCAGTACAAGTTCACCCGCCGTACATTTGCACAGTGGCGGCGCTAGGCGTCGGCGACGTCGGCCACCGCCGACAGCCTCCTGCCTGAGGGGGCCTCGCAAATTTTTTTTAACAAGTTACCTATTTATTTTCATTCCTCCTGGCCTGGTTTAGGTAGCCGACCCCGAACAATTCAGGGAAAAAGCTAAGCAGATGATAATGACTTTTATTATTTTCGAACACGTGCGTGATGGAAGCAAGTAGTACTTTACGGGTATTCAGAATCGTCTGTCTGGCAACACTATTGTTGTAATTATGTTTGTAATTATTTTTTGTCATCATTTGTTTATCAACAATAAAACTCGTTTACTCATACGTTATTTTATAATTTGGCTCACTTAATTTAACGGTTTTTTACTGCGAAGTAAAATAGGCCTCGCGAACTTGATGTCGCCGACGTCCACATGTGGTCTAGCGCCGCCACTGCATTTGCAAACCGATGGCGTAGCTTCTTGACCTTCACAAGTGCTTGTAACAGCCTAGACTGAATAAATGATTTCCGAGTTTGAGTTTGGGTGACAAACAGACATACGCAATAATAACTAGGTCGCTTAGCATTAATCTTCGCTAGCACCATATTTGGACAGCGGAGCGTGATTATCATTTTTAATAGATCATCATCATCATCACTGCTGGGGCACAGACCTTCCCTATGGATGGAATAGGGAGGGAGATTGAGCCATGACCCACCACGCGGGCCCCGTGCGGATTGGCGGGTGCTAACGACTGCCTGCCTTCCGAAGCTAGAATTCTAGAAGATTTTTGGTCACCCATCCAATGACCGACCACTGCGAAAGTTGCTTATCTTCAACGATCGCAGACAAACGGGCTAGCCACCTGCGCCATAGAGCTCCTCTTAATAAATAACTCATTAGTAAAGCAAATATTTATTCCATGTTTCATCCATCATACAAATATTACCAGATACAATTATTCATAAACAGCTGAAAGTATTGACCAGCTTAGCTTGTGTTGCAGCTATTACTGTTACAACTCTGATTATAAGCTGAATCCGCATAATTAGTAAAATAGTGAGTTTTGATTTTAGTGTCAGTAACCAATTAGTGTTTGAACAGCAAAATTAACATGAATCCTATGTTTGCATTCATTGTATTAAAAATACGGGAAGGCGCGCGCTTTTTGATGAAATGGAAAATCCCATGCCGTGTTTGTCGTTTAATTATAACGTCGTTACATATATTATTTTTATTTCTGTGAATCTTGCCGGCTCTGTCACAATCTGCACCCTGAACTGTTGATTCGATTTAACAATAAAGTATTAAAATCATTGGCGCTTCCTTATTTCCTTTATAATTGAAAACTATTTCAATTGTTATTAAATAACTTCTTCTACTACTTAAATAAAACTAGTTTTTTACGGGTTAATGCACGAAACTTTATTTATTTATTGATGTTTCTTCTACTAACTTCTCTCTTCAAGTTCCCAGGCACAATACAAATATTACTTTTTCAAAAAACTCAAAATATCTTTATTTAAATGGACTTTGCTAAGTACTTTTAAATCGTCAATTCCCTACCACAGTTTCGAGACGAAATAATTATTTCACTTAAATACCTAATCTTAATGCTGCTTTGTCGGAGAAGAAGCGGCGAAAGAAAATCCACAGCTTTTATTTATTAAAAATAAATAAAATCATAACATAATATTATCAACACAGTCATTTGCACTTGGGAACCTGGCTCTCGTTATTCGATTCCTATTTAGTTATTTACTCTCAAAAAATATAAAATATATAATATTAATACTAAATTAATTATTTTCCATCTCATAGTGCAAATGAAATATTTTTTTCAATTGCATTCTTTTTTTATCTACTCTGGCAGAAAAAATATGAATACTGTTCTTAGGTATTTAAAATACAATTTTCAGCGTGCGTTTATAAAACTAGATTCGGAACGTACTATATCGATTCCGCATATCAATGTAAAAAGTATGTCTAGCAAAAGCACTGGCGATCATTGATACTTTTAAAAATAGGCCCACTAAATGTCAAGCTTGACACTGCTAATAGCGTTCCAATTTCAAACAGCAAACAAGACAAAAACGTCTTGTTGTTATGACGTATACAAATAAATATTTCTTGTTATGTGGTGCGCGTGTGCTGTGTTCCAAATGTACTGAAATCTGTTTATTTAGAATGCTTAAAATGTGTCGAAATTAGGGAGTAGTCATGAAGGCCAATATGCGTAGCAAGAACCAAGTGTATAGTGTGGGTAACTACTTAATGACCGGCAAAGTGCTTGGCAAAGGCCACTTTGCGAGAGTAGAGGAAGCCACCCACAGAATAATAGGCAAAAAGGTGAGTTACACTTGATAGACCAGAAAGATATTGAAAAACACTCCACAATTCAAACTCCGTGGTCGAGTGGTTTGTACGCCGCGTTTCCGGGCTCGAGAGGTCCTGGGTTCGAACCCCGGTGGAGGCAGATGTTTGTGTAATGAATACGACGAGCATTTGTACTCCAGTCATGGTTGTTTAATATGTATTTATAAAAAATATACTTATATATGTACAATATATGAATTCTATCTGTTACACTAGTATCTCATAACACAAGCCTTACAGTGCTTACTTTGTGGGCTAGGCTAATCGGTGTGAGTGTTGGAAATATTTATTTATTTAATTAATTGAGTGAAAAATGCAGGAAAAGTTACTTGTAAAGCAAATGTCCCTTATTTTCTATAGAGGACCGCTGACATCCGTCATTCATAAGCGAGTCTCGTTGTAGGTATTTTGCATGATTTTCAATTCTACCAGATACATTTATTTAAGTAATTAATACAACAGCTATAAAGAAATGTGACGGACATTGGCTTGATAACAAATCATAATAAAGTATTTATATTTTTTTTAATTAAGCTCTGATAACTTTCAATAAAAGTGACGAGTACCAATACATATTTATTGTAAATGTGAGTACCTATAAGTAACTGATTTGAATTGTCTAAAAATTTTTCTATCACCAAAGCTGTAAAGAAGAACTGGTGAAAGAAACAGTAGGTACAACATTCATCATAAGCATCAGCCTATCAAGTTCCCCACTGCTGGGGCACAGGCTTTCCCTATGGATGGAATAGGGAGATTGGGCCATGACCCACCACGCGGGCCCTGTGCGAATTGGCGGGTGCTAACGACTGCAGATGCAGCCGGGACCAACGGCTTAACGTACCTTCCGAAGCACGGAGGAACTAGAGATAAAAGATTCACCCATCCAATGACCGACCACTGTGAAAGTTGCTTTACTTCAACGATCGCTGACCGTTTCGCGGTTACAGTTGATTGAAAATTAATTCTCACACGTTGGTAGCTACCGAACATCTAACGCGCGTTTTTCAAACTATTTCCTACCGCGTACTTTTGCTTTGAAATCAACCATATTTAACTGCTTGGGGTCCGCATGCAGTATTTATGCGGGCTATTTAAAACTGTTGTATTTAAAACTGTAGTCCCGTTGACCGTGCGATGTATTTTTCGAGCGCGCCCCGATCGGCGCGTGTGGTCTTATTTGAGTTAAAACACCGTGTATGAAATGATCTCTCTGTTGAGGTTTTCCCAAAGAAATAGGCAAAGCACAGACTTCTTCAAAATTGACGTAAAGATGTTTATTTGGCCTAACATACCCCGGAGGGGTTTTTACAGGATTAGTAACGCGCGTGTGACAGACGCGTCCACAAACCGATTAACATCAAGCGAACTGTGCGTTTTTTCATGTTTGTATATGGCAAAGAAGCGTATTGCCTGATGGTGAACCATAGATGCTTGTTGTTGTAAGGGTTGATCTGTGGTGAAGGGTCCCTTCACTATGGGCGTATTCCGTAATATATACCAGTATACTGGCCAGTGCTAATGACGTCATAAATCGACGAAATATTAAAAATAGTGCAAATGAAGAAGATTCTTTATTCACCTCATCAATTCAAAGGAATTCTTTTTGTTCGGATGCCATTATTGTTCTTTAAATAAAAAAGAAATAAAATTTGAATGCTTCTCACGCACGCTCGGTCATACGTCATATTCGTTTTCCCGGTAAAAATATGATAGCATACCAGTACAATATGGCATCGGATTCGTGACGTCATTACCATTGGCCAGTATACTGATGTAGTTTGGGAAGTTTTCGGTTAGTTGTCACTGTGAACTTGAGATGTAACATGTGAGCTGATTAATAAATGTGATTGAAACATAGCAGCCGGGGTATGATTATAGAGAAATAGATATATAATTGGAGTAGTACCAAAAATATCACTCGCGCCGTTGCCTCCCTAAATCCAAATTCCAATCCCCTGCCCCGTGCAGCCCTGGAACCTTTCTCACCGACAGACAATACTACCAAAAGGTAGTGTTATTTCACTGTGGTCTTCTGTAAGGTGGAGGTTACTTCCCCAGACGGGCGCTCCAATTTGGGCTGAAAGTCCGCTATGCCCTACCTCTTTTCGCTTGTCTAACTTCCATAAAATAAAAAAATCTGTTTTCTGTAAAGTAGATAGTTGAACGTGACAACGTTTTTTTACAATATACATAGTTTTTACAAGTATGAACGTGCTTTGGGCAATTGTTTTACAATTTTTAATCATGTGTGATATCATTACCTTTATCGCCGCAATTATCGTGGCTATAAACAATTGACACCACATTCACTTTTCATTGCACTTCATACTTGACGAAAACATGTAAATGTATTATTGTATAGCAGCTGTCCACGCGGACGCATCGCTCACTCAAGTAGGAGAGAGGCAGATGTCGAACGCTGCCGAACGTGGAGGCCGATTGTGCCTCTTTGTCGCTCGTTGCGCGCTCTCGCTTGCACTTCAAGCCTTAAATGGAACGCCTCAGAGCGAGGTAACGCCGCATGAGTCATGTTTTTTCGTGCGTGCAGCCGGCCCCATCGAATTATAAGACGTTGTCACGTAAAAAAAAAGATTAGAAATCAAATTACATTGTCGCTGGAATTGAAATAATTTATTTGTGAGGGCGGAGCAAAGAATACAATACAAATTCAAATAAAATTATTTTATTCCCTAATATAATCCCACAAAAATAATATATAAATAATACAGAAAGGGACTGACAGGGGTACAAAAAATAAAGAAAGGCAAATAATTTTCCAGGCTTCTATAAAGTTGCTAGTCATATCATATAATATTCAATTTTCTTTTAGGAGTTTCCTAATTGACATAAATTTTGTGTGCCCCCGACCTCAAAACTGCGTGATCATACAATAACATCAATGTATCCTGTGTTAAATCCAGATGGTTACGATATAAATAGTTGATGCTTCTTGTCTGCATCAGTCAGTGCTAATACTACTATAGGTAAACCGCTTAACTGAGACCTCGCCTGCGGGGTACAAGGTGTGCGGGAGGATGAGAACGGGGACAGTGAGAGGTGCGGGCGGTGGACGCTTGATATTTTGACAAGAATGTGCTTGCCGCCGCACCTCTCACGATCCCCATTTTCGTCCTCCACCACATACACTTTACCCCGCAGGCGATTTCTTACTAACACACGTACATATTATATATAGATAGAACTTTAAAATGGCTATCTAGTAATTTATATGCGATAGAAGTAGGAGTGTGTGATATAGGTACCAGTGAATTCTCTCTATAACCTTCTTAAAGACCTCGGCCTGTCGAGAACTGCAGTCATTTAAATTTTGGAAAACGTAACTAAGACTGCACTTACAGGCTCCTATTTGGCTAGGAAGTTCGGGCAACCCAAGCAGTAAAAGTGGACGTTGATGCGCATCGCAAAGGGGGCCTCCTTAAACCTACACCTTGGTTGCTAGTCCCGGCAACTGCTCAGAGTTTCTCTCTTCCACACGATGGAACCGGCACCCGCACGGTGAATTCATGGTTTGCTAAGAAGTTCGTCTCATAGATCAGTGTTTTATCCAGGTGGCCATAAAGATCATTGACCTGACGCTCATCAAAGAAGAATACGCGCGGCGCAATCTCCATCGCGAGCCCAGAGTCATGTCCAAGCTGCGCCATCCCTGCATCGCCGCGCTCTACGAAACCATGATGGTAAACCTCTTTTAATATTACAAACTACATTATTATAAACTAGCGACCGCCCGCGACTTTATCCACGTTAACTTATATTTTTGAAACTTTCATGGTCACTAACATTAGAGAAATGTATGTTATTTACGGGATTGTTGCCATGTATACATTGTTTTTAGCGAGTTTCCGATATTTCGGCAATGTTACAAGGGCCATGATCACGGAGTAACTGAAGTAATTCTCAACATTTGATCGATTCTGGTCCTAATCACTGGATTGCGTTCCCACATAAATAATTAATTTTAAATTTTTGACATTTTTGAGGGCTTCTAGTTTCGTTGAAACACAAGTTATCAAAAAAAGAAAGTCATAGGACATCAATTCTCTAGTGATAAAAATCGAGAAGAAATCAGTCGAGAACGTTTCTATGGAAAAAACATTGTCCGCCTCCCCTCTTAAGACATTATGATACTTTTAGGAGGACTGCACACCAGACATACAATTGTATTACGATAATTGTGGCACCACATTCGAAAAGCGACACAGGTACACTGTGGCTCCGGTGTGCGGCCTCACTTAATCCAGGAAAATACCAACTACATATAACGTGGACGAAGTCACAGGCGAAAACTCAATCAATCAATAATTTAATAAAACTGACAACAAAAGTACAACAATATCAAACTAAAAACTTATCATTAAAAATCAACCCTAAATATTTATATACATATTCACAAGAAGAATGTCATCCAAAATTCCAATTTGGGGCATGGTACCCAGAACACCTCGCTGAATAGGTAAACTGATTCTCTGCGCGAAATAGCTGCCAGCCCACTGATCACCCGAAGAGAGAATTAGTCAATCGATCTTATACTTATTTACAAATATAGGTGATTCAAATATTATGTAAAAGTGTTAATTAAGCCCAAAACACAAAATGACAAATATCATAGACTACGATATTTGTCAATACGATTCGTAGTATTTATTGTTGACCATATGAAATTTTGATTTTATAGTCAACTAACAAGAACCGTGTCAACAAGCGAAATTATAAAACCACTATTAAGATACGATCAACGTTAGCTTAACAGAACCGATATCCTGGTGGAGGTCGCCTCTTTTACATCAGCCTATCAATGTCCCCACCACAGAACACAGAAAGGTCCCCACTGATGGGGCACAGGCCTTACCTTTGGATGGAATAGGGATATTAACATATGTGAACCTTTACCATGCCTTTATTCAGCACGGCCCACGGCTGTACGTGGTGATGGAAGCGGCCGGTGGCGGCGACTTGTGCGCGCACGTGCTAGCCGCCAGGGGAGTGAGAGGCACGCGCGGCCTCCCCGAAGCGAGAGCGCGGGCGCTGGCGGCGCAACTGGTGTCTGCTGTGAGACACATGCATGCTAGGGGAGTTGTGCACCGGTGAGAGACAGCTAATGCCATTAGGAGGACAACTAGAACTTGTGGCCTAGGTGTTGCAAGGGGGAAGGGCCGGCGGCGCCACTGGTGTCAGCTGTCAGACACATGCATGCTAGGGGAGTTGTGCACCGGTGAGACATAACTAATGCCACTAGGAGGACTACTAGAACTTGTCGCCTAGGTGTAGCAAGGCACAGCGCTGGCGGCGCCACTGGTGTCTGCTGTCAGACACATGCATGCTAGCGGAATTGTGCACCGGTGAGACATAACTAATGCCACTAGGAGGACTACTAGAACTTGTCGCCTAGGTGTTGCAAGGGGGGACGGCCGGCGGCACCACTGGTGTCTGCTGTCAGACACATGCATACTAGGGGAGTTGTGCACAGGTAAGAGATAGCTAATGCCACTAGGAGGACTACTAGAACTTGTCGCCTAGGTGTAGCAAGGCACAGAGCGCTGGCGGCGCCACTGGTGTCTGCTGTCAGACACATGCATACTAGGGGAGTTGTGCACAGGTAAGAGATAGCTAATGCCACTAGGAGGACTACTAGAACTTGTCGCCTAGGTGTAGCAAGGCACAGAGCGCTGGCGGCGCCACTGGTGTCTGCTGTCAGACGCATGCATGCTAGGGGAGTTGTGCACCGGTGAGACATAACTAATGCCACTAGGAGGACTACTAGAACTTGTCGCCTAGGTGTTGCAAGGGGGGAGGGCCGGCGGCACCACAGGTGTCTGCTGTCAGACACATGCATACTAGGGGAGTTGTGCACAGGTAAGAGATAGCTAATGCCACTAGGAGGACTACTAGAACTTGTGACCTAGGTGTTGCAAGGGGGGAGGGCCGGCGGCGCCACTGGTGTCTGTAGTCCAACACACGCACTCCAGGGGAGTTGAGCACTGGTGAGAAACGGCTATATCCCACTAGGAGGACTTGTGTGCTAGACGAGTCAAAGGAAATATTGCTTGCGGCGCAGCTATTATGTGCTGTCAAACACATGCATGCTAGGGGAGTTGTGCATTGGTGAGTGACAGTTAATCCTGCTACGAGAACTTCTAGCAGAAGCAAGGGCGAGAGCACTGGCGGTGCAGCTGGAGTTGGTTGGTTAGCTGGAAGTAGGGTTACCAACTATTTTTCTATCAAATAAAATATTTTCGAAGCTGTTACCTCTAAAAATATAGTGGATGGCAAAAAAAATGGAAGAAACTATAGTATGTGGTTAAAATATTTACTTTATTTTTGTTATGAATATATTTTTGCTTCTCTATGCCCTAATAATATTTATTTTTTATTTTTAAGAAAGCTTTTACAGGCAAACGTCTGCAAAATATAGTACATAGTTTCGCCTACTATATTTTTTTAGATATATAGTATTTGATCCCCTAATATAGTAGGATATATACTATCGAAGAGTCGTGCACCGGTAAGAGATGGCTCTTCAGATTCAAAAGAAAAACCTCCTTCAGATGCACCTGCAAGCCAGGGGAGTTGCACTACGAGCAATACGAGTTAAGTCTCTATAAAACAGTTGGGGGACTTTTGGCCTAGTTCATGTAAGAGGTGTTTATCCAACAAGAGGGACTTCTAGGTGGACTTTTATCCTAGCTGTTGCAAGTGTCTCAGCCTTGCTTGAAATAATTGTTGGTCTTAAATTTTTTACATATACATATTTAACTAAGGTCATAAATATTAATCTTAATTTATTTCTATATATTTGACTTACAGAGATTTGAAAATGGAGAACATCATGTTGGACACCACGAAACAGTACATCAAGATTGTAGGTAATTATTTTCTACAATTCAAATGCCAATCATAAAAATTTGCCCAGTAGACTAGGCAATCTACTTATTATCACTATGACTTCATTAATAGGCTTTCTATAAATTGACGACCTCCGTGGCTGAGTGTTAATATACGCTCGGTTTCATGATAACGCCTACTCGTGAGGTGAGGGCAAACGTTAGTATGATGAATATGAGCATTTGTACCTTAGTCATGGATGTTTATATATATAAAACGCATACACGTTTTTAAAAAGATTAATTATTTAGTACCCAAAGGAGGAAAGAACTTAAAAATAACAAAAAAAAAAGTGTGTGTCAGCTCCGACGCACGACCGGAGTTTACACCTCAAAAAACGATTGTCTTTGAACAGACACAAAACAAAATCAAGTCCGAAGAAGTCGGTTACAAGTAGAGATACACCAAAAGCTAATAAAAGCGTATTAAAAAAAAATTACGTCAAGGCGTGATAATTTTCAGAATTTTTATAATAAATAAATTAGATAATTCATAGCTTTTTAAAATTGCAACATGTAAATTTTTAAAATAACTTTTTTACTATAATTTTTCAATTTGAGAGCTGTTGATGGGTAAATTTGAAAGGGTTTTGCTTATAAATAAGTGGAAATTTTCAAAAAAATCGCTTCGTACGTCCGTAAATAATAGAATTATCTGCCGACGTCCGAAGCGCTGTTTTTTTGAAAATTTTTATTTATTTATGAGAAAAACGGTTTTGAAGTTCTCATTCATTATGAAAAAACGATAGAGACACTTTCATTTGCTCAAAAGAGAACAAGAGAGAAAAAAGACTAAACCGTTCTTAAGAAATATTGTTTTACGTCAAATTGAATTCGCGATTTTATTTTATCGATCGATTCTTTTCAATAGATATCAATTCAATCGATTCTATCGTTGAAATATAATTATACTTCTTTATTGTCGTGGTTGATTGACGCTGGCTACACACAAGTATACACACACACAACTGAAAAGTGGAAGGTGCGCAGATCAGGTTGCGCACAAAAACGTAACGAGGTCATTTGTTCAGTAGATTTTACTCCTCATATTTTTCTCATACCGGGCCCCTTATATATGCAAATCGATTCTTAAGCAGTAAACTCCAAAAATATTTTTAAATCATTTTAAAAATCCGAAGCAAATGAGAGGTACTCTATATACGTAACCTAACAATCCCACGAAGTTTCATTAAAACATTCAATTTCACCCTATATAAACCTTACAGTGCTTAGTTTGTGTGAGAAATATATTATTATTATTTTATTATAAATAGTGGACTATTAGAAGGAACTAAAATTCCAGCGGCCGTCTGGGGCTACTTTCTACCCTTTTACATACATCAGTGCCTGTCCACATCTCCACGTCACGACGTCATCAACGTGGAACGGTGCGGTATCGCGGCACGGTGCATTGACATAACGTACAAATTTACGACCAGAAGGTCTACTCTAATTCAACGAAAAACGAAATTTCAATCGAAACTTCGCACTTTTCTTACTTAGTTTCTGGTTCGTTTTTAATTATAATAATATTCATCATCGGAATACAGATTGAGGTGTAGATTTTCTTAGCCTACCCAAAGAAAGCTTGATAGTTTATCGTTCAAATTAAATATAACTTATAATATATATTGACGTAATGAAATTTCGTTTAAACTTCGTTATCGAAATTTCGTTTCGGTGAAAGAGAGTAGACCTCCAGGTTTTCACGTGTAACATCACCGCACCGTTCCACGTTGACGACGTCGTGACGTGGAGATGTGGACAGGCACTCACTATACGACTTGTTGTCAAAAATTGTGTGTAGTGTACCTTAAATATATTTTGAAACTTACAACAGTTTCTCGGCGTTGTTCCGTTTCCTCTTCCTTGGAACACCTAGAAATGGCCGGACATAATTTTATATGTAATGATCTAAATAAGTTTAATTTCTGTTCACTTCAATTGTTTAATATGGTAATAAATCAATGAATGTGATTTTACACGTGTTTTGTTGTTGGATGTGCCCACCTCCGCTCTCACCACAACTCTGGCAAATCACAAAACTTGTCAAAAAACCCATTCTTTGCAGGCCCCTCTTTCCCAGAGGGCACTTTGGGCAAGCGCCCAGGGCCCCGCGATCGATAGGGGGCTCCCTCAGATCAAATACAAAGTCCCTAGTCATGTTAAATCCCCATACGGGGGTCATAGGGGCCCCATTATCCTAATATGCCCAGGGCCTCTAATAGATCAAAGACGGCACTGATTCTTTGTATGATGATCAGACTTTGGGCTATCGAATATTTGGAGCGCGGGCGGCGCGCTGCGGACCCCGTGCGGCTCGCTGGAGTACGCGGCGCCCGAGCTGTTCGTGGACGGCCGCCGGTACGGGCCTGAGGTAGACTTGTGGAGCATGTGAGTGACACAATACGCACATACTTTAAGGCTGCGCGCAGATTAGAGTCACGACACACACATTCGAAATGAGACGTCTCATAGACAAAATAGTCTTATGTACACAAGAACTGCAAAGTGACAAGTGTGACTAACGACTGTCCGCTTCCCTTTGTAATGTATGCGAGGGCGCACACCAACGACGAAATTGTCTAGCGATTAGGGATGATAATCGATACTGAAAGAAAGTATAATACATACGATAAAATAAGTAATATGTGGGTCCATAAATTTTGACAAATTATCAAAGATAGATTGATACATTCATTCGAAATTACTGGTAAAACTTTCTGGGCTGGTGCCTTAATTTCTATATAATAAATAATCGGTGAAATCTATTCTGATACTGATGAAAATGGTGTGTGTCGCATCGTAGACAAAACAGTTTCGTCTTGGTGTGCGCCTTGTGGTAGACACAACGGTTTCTTTTTAATTGTAAAGCTGTCTCGTCTATGTAAGACAAGATTGTCTAACAACTGTCGTGACTCTAATCTGCGCTCAGCCTTACGCGTCCATTAGACGCTCATGCAGCCGTTAGTGAATAGGGTATTTGACAGTATCAAAAATAAAGTGCCAATTGTTAGCATCTGTGTTTAGAATGAGTATTGGCAGGTGTTTTTACTATTTTTACAAAAAGAATATTCATAATTTTGCTAAAAACCCACGAAAAAGATAATAGTTTTCTTGTCTATTGTCACGTGAGCGGAGCCTAAAATGACGTCACACGCAAGTAAACTTCCGGTTAAAGTGACATTACATTGTATCGTTTGACGTTTTAATAACAGTCGTGTGACGTCACACACTAGTAAGACGCCAATTGCCCAGAGAAACGTTTTCGCGGCAACTTGAAAATGGAGTTCTTGATTTGGTTATTTTTACTGAAATACACAACAGAATGATGAATATCCACTTTTTACGGACTCTATAGACATTAGTTAATAACGTGAGATCGTTTTCTAAAACTTGTCAAATACCCTATTCCATCAGTCAGGTTAACAATTACAATAAAAATAAAATTTGCTAGAACGGCCTCGGCTCTGCCTGCGCTCCATTTTTGGATGTGGCGCAGATTTTCAGATCCAGTCGTGATGTTTCAAAACGGATGACGACTGAAAAGGCATCAGACACCACATTAGACAGGTTATCCATCAATCATAACCTCAACTGCCAGTAAACTGACAGCAAAACCTACCGTCTGGAGACTGGATGCCTTATTTTTCCTGCAGAGGATCACGCGCGCTGGTATACATTGTGACCGGTATTCGAATGCGAACAAAGAGAGCGGTACCTCGTTTCTTTGTCACATCATCATCATCATCATCAGCCTATTAATGTCCCCACTGCTGGGGCACAGGCCTTCCCTATGGATGGAATAGGGAGATTGGGCCATGACCCACCACGCGGGCCCAGTGCGGATTGGTGGGTGCTAACGACTGCAAATGCAGCCCGGACCAACGGCTTAACGTGCCTTCCGAAGCACGGAGGAGCTCGAGATAGTAAATTTTTGGTCACCCATCCAATGACCGACCACTGCGAAAGTTGCCTAACTTCAACGATCGCAGCCGAACGCGCTAGCCACCTGCGCCATCGAGCTCCTCATTGTCACACTATCCGCAAATACAATGCTGGCTCGCTCGTGTTCCCTCTCCTACAACACCTTAAAAAAACCTTGCAGGCCGGCAAGGAAAGAATGGTGAGTATGGCAGATTAAAACATCTTAATATAAAAACGTATGTACATGATAACATGTACATATATACATACATTAATCACCTCCGGCGGCGACCAGCCTCAGGCGCTACGGGTCGCACGATGCTTGCGGCTTTATCACAGCAGGGGGGGGGGGGCTGCTCTCCCTCCGAGCCTCCGGGCTCTAAAAAATACTCTAAAGGTAGGGCAGACCAAGACCATGACGTGTCGGGGTTGACCAAGTCGGTTCTGAATTAAAGACTGTTATTAAGCCACATTTACCTTTTATCTAAGAGTTGAGGCCATACTATTTCTTATTTACCCAGTTCTCAAAATAAACACAAAATGGCGAGACATCTGTCATTTTGACAATAGTACCAACGTTTTGAATTTATTCATACTGCCCGGTCCAAGTGATAAATTCAAGCTATCTTAAACACTGACTTATTACATGGACCACGAGCCGTCCGGCATTATTAATAATGGCCGGGCAATGTGATAAATAGGTGAGTTTAGATTGTAATTAATCACTTGGCCCGATATGGCTGGGCATTATTCATTCTGCCCTGGCATTATTAATATTGCCCGCATTAATCACTTGGCCCATAACCTACATATGCCTTCACAACATAAGACTCGAGCTATTTGTGGACGGCCACAGGTACGAGCCCGATGTGGACTTGTGGAGCATGTGGGTAGCTTTATGCTTCTACCTCACCTAGCGTAGATTTGGGTGGCTTTGGTACAGGTCGTGGCACGTAACTCTAGCTCTGAACAAATCGCGGAGGGGATAGCTTACCGTGGTGGTCAAACATTACCTGCAGTATAGTATAGAAGGATGATGAAAACGTTTTTCATCAGGTAGATTAAAAAAAAATACATATATTTTTTCTTTATTCACATATTCAAAACATTACAGAAGGTTTAAAGATTTAAAATTGTCTTGAAATTGTCGCATGACTCACGTTTTGGTACAATTTTCACTTGCAAGTGACGATTGGATCAGTCAAACAATTTTCTTGTTTTATTCCTTACTAGCGGCCGCGCACGACTTCGTCCGCGTTAACTTATTTTTTTTTGTGAATGTCTCAGAAACCTACAAATTTTCCGGGATAAAAATTAACCTATGCCTCATACCAGGTCATAAACCGTATGCGAACCAAATTTCATCTAAATCCGTTCAGTAGTTTTTGCGAGATTGAATAACAAACATACAATCATGAAAACATTCACCTTCATAATATTGGTAGGACTAACGCCTGCTCGCGACGGGGAAACGAGGTGCGTGGGTGGCTTTGGCGCCAGGGGGGGGGGGGTCATTAGTCGTGGTATATTAAAAATATTGAAAGTACTTTTGGTTCATGACCCCATGACCCCCCCCCCTGGATCCGCCCTTGTCTCCAGTCTACCCATGCGCAGCTAGCCCCTCCGTGTTTGGTCAGCGCTAGAGTTACGTGCCGGGACCTGTATAGTTGGCAAACCGAAATGTCAATGTAAAATTTTGTATGGAAACTTGAACAGCAGCGGCATAAAGTACGTAACGGGAACTAAAAATCAGTACACATTTGACAATGACATTTCTGACTCGCAAACGTTACGAATTCGATTTTGGTTCGTGCTTGAACAGTACTTTATTATGTTGCTTGCAAAGGGTTCAGTAAAGAATATGAATTAATCCTTTGGTTGTAGAGGCGTGATCGTATACGGAATGGTGACTGGTGGCCTGCCGTTTACTGGCGCGGACGGCAGCGGGGGCGGAGGGGGTACGGGAGGGGCGGGGGCGGGGGGAGGAGAGACTAGATCTCGGCCCCTGCTGCGAGCCGCCATCGCAAGGGGGTTTACTAGGAAACAACGCGCTGCATTGGCCTGCGTCTCTTCAGGTACGAACGACGCGCCCTACCTCTATATATAGAACTATTGCCAGAGACCTTCCTGGAACACTTGCGAGGATCTATCGAGGCTTGTTAATCTCTGGCGAGTACAGAGACTTATATGTTCCATGCACTCTTGCTAGGATACTTGCTACGACATATGTCATTGACTAAGGGCGAGGGGAGACCAGGTCTCGGCCCCTGCTGCGGAACTTGTAAATTGCACTCTTGCTAGGACTGTTTCTGGGATTATAGCTAGGACCCTTTCTAGGACTCTCTATTGCTAGGACTATTACTAGGACTCCTGCTAGTTCTGTGTTTAGGGTTCTTTCTAAAACTCGTGCTAGGACACTTCACATGCTAGGACTGCTGCTAAAACTCTTTCTAGAACCCTTGCTAGGAACCTAGCACTCTTGCTAGGACACTTATTGGGACACTTGCGAGAACTCGTTAGAATAATTGAGGGGTAGGAAGACAAGGTCTCGGCCCCTTTTTTGTGTCTGGGAAATGATTTACGCATCCTTCAACCACCCCCCTGGTGGTTGAAGCGAGAAGGGACTCCTCCCTGCTCATTTCATTCGGCCCTGGGGCCGGATGAAATGGGCAGGGCTCTACCTACGCCCTGAACAGGGCCAAAGGTCTCGGCCCCTGCTGCGGGTCGCCATCGCTAGGGGGTTCACCAGGAAATAACGTGCACACTAGCCTGAGTACGAGAATTGTGTTACTTGCACACTCTAAATTCAAACTCTTGTAACGGGGCGCCACGATCGCCCTCGATTCTCGGCACGCACCTTAGTGTCGGGTGGTCGGTTCAGAAGCAGTGTTTGTAGTTTTAGTGCGTAGGACCCTACTTGTTTCGTCGAGCCCTAGAGCTGGTAGGAATGACCGAAGAGTCTTGACATATTATCCTCGTTGCAATCCCATGTGACGAGGAAAGAATGAGGCCTTTCTCAGACATTAAGAAGGGTCTTTTTTAGGAGACTTCCTAGGACTCTTGCTAAGCCTCGTGCTGGGACACTGACGAGGACTTATTTAGCACCATAATCCTTATTTCGTCCTTATCTTTTCTGTAACTTCCTTTTTATCTAAATCATGTGTTCAATTAAGACTGAATGGCCTTTAGATTGACTTTAGGATTTAAAGTAAACAAAAATCTAAATCGTACCTTATATTCTTCAATTAATTAAAAAGTTACAAAAATCACTTATTCTCAAAGGACACTCGGACCAAATAAAAAGTAAAGACGGAGTCTGCCGAACAAAAAAGTGAAGCCGATAAAACTACGCCTCGCCGTGTACATACACAGTTACACGCACACACATGCAACGAAACTACGCCTTGGCTTCCCAGTCGAGCTATCCCGGCGCGCGGAGTGTGACGTATTAATAAATAACAATATTTATTAGAGAAAATGCCGAATTGAGTAGTGAAAACGTGTAGAAACCAATCTTATAAGAATAGAAAACAGGATGGAATCACATTTCATACGTTAGTAAAGTTATAAACTAATATTTTCAATTAATCAAATTTGAGGTTGTCGCTTTGTAAACAAAACCTGAACGAAATGCTGCCATGATTATACGTTACAGTTTTACCCTTTTGTTGGGTAGCGTGAAATATAACGTAACGTTATTTTATTAAATACATTGTGAAGCATACTTTTATATTATTCGAATATTGTAATGCATGGATAAACAATTACACGAAACATCTTTATTATCTTTTTTCTTTACGTATTCGTATAATTTTTTTGGGATGTAATACACATTATATAATATACGTTTTTTGACGTGACAACGTCTTAAATTAGGTTGCGGCTGGGAGTCACTTATGAAAAAGTGTAACGCTCGGTAACGTTACGATGAGTTTAAGTTTACATGTACAATGTTTTAGTAAACAAAATATATTTCTATAGTTAAAATTTGTGCAATTCTTATTTTCATTCAATTCCTTGTTCCTATTGTGCAATTTAATTATATTCATATCAATAAATATTCTACCGAGAAAAAGACGTTGTCACGTAAAATCTTCGCCCGTAAAACCGACTTTACAGGCAACCATTTTTTACGATTTCCTAATCGAGATCAAAATCTAAAAGAGAAGTGGATTGCAGTCATTCGTAAGAGTAGAAATGAACCATTGTGGCAACCAGCTTCCCGCAGCGTGGTTTGTTCGACTCATTTTCAGAGCGACGATTTGTACTACACAACAAAAGGGTTACGTCGTGTAAAACAAAATGCATATCCAAAGGTATTTTTTTTTACTTAATATGGTTACTTAGGTTAATTTATATTTTAAACATTGCAATAATTCTTCAGTCGTGCAGACGGTTGAAACACAAAATTACACCAATTTTATTTCACAATATTCACTATGAACGAATTAAAGAATAATTAAAATATGACGCTAACCGCACTCCATAAAATCCCGCCAAAAACTCCAAAGTTAACCTTTGTTTTTATTATATATTTTTTAACTAAACTTTTATTAGTGTAACAGTTATTAAACTTATAAATCACAGGAACCCCAGATCTCCAAGCACAGGACCTTTGGCGCTAGTGTAAAACTAATCTGGACTAGTTTAGAGAATAAGCCTAGGATATTTTTTCCTAATATTTTATAACGTTATTAATAACGTTATTACATTTTTCTAATATTGGGGTATTATAAATGACTATGGTAACACTGGATAATGCACTACATACATAAAAAACCGGCTTCACTTTTTTGTTCGGCAGACTCCGTCTTTACTTTTTATTTGGTCTGAGAAAGGACATTATAACGTTAGTCGTGTCTCATCCATCAACACACTTTATTTACATAAATAACAATGGGATAAACACCTTATCACCTTTTTTGGATTTGTAACGCAGTCTTTGCTGAACAGTTCACTTAAAATTTAAAACAATGTCGTTAGTTTTTTCACTGCTCCACTTGTTCGGATGTTACAACCACCTGTGAAACGAAAAAAAAAATTATTTTTACATTTAACTGCTGTATGTTTAAATCTAAAGAAAATATTACTAGAAAAATATGGAGATGGCGCTGCCTTGCAGCTTAAGAAAGGCTAGATAGAATTCGACATGGCCATCAGGGCCGCGGTAGCATAATGGTCAGTGCATTGGCCCGGATAGCGAAGGGTGCTGGTTCGAGACCGAGAGTTTAATGTATGATAACTGCTGTGCCCAGCCTAAGCACAATGAGGGCTATCGCTTATGAAAAAATTATAACGTTTCCGAACGAAACGGCGCGACACTGTGGCATGGCCGATTACTTTTACGATACGGTTTTTTTTGTATAATATGATTTAAATGTACACTTTGATTTCACGCGCGTAACAACAAACTTTAAAAACTTCACTACAGGACCTCACTCAACAGTCGCCTCACTCAACAGGCGTCACCTGGTGAGACAAAAACTGGTAGTCCTCATTAAGCGCCAGGTTAGGGATGATGACGGGGTACAGTAAACGAAATTCTATTTGGTCCGTCAGTTAGATGATCAAAAAATAATGACACGTATTTTTTCTTTGGGCAATTAACCAAAAAATGACAAAGTTATAGCGCGTCAAAGTTTAGGAGTAGGGGCTCGTGACGTCACTTTTTAGTGAATTTTCACTTAAAAGTGTACCAAAACGTGACGTCATGCGACTTTTCAAATCAATATATCTCTGCAATGTTTATATTATGTAAAAAAAGAAAAAATACGTGTCCAATACTTTTTGATAATCTACCTGATAAACGAAGAAAAAAAAATTGATTTGTAAGGTTCGAAATGAAATCAAATTAATTGGATTGCCGTGTTCAGAATGCAAGGCGTTCATCCAGCACCTATTGGAGCCCAATGTGGAGCTGCGCATGAAGATCGAAGAAGCGGCGCGCCATCGCTGGGTGCGACGCCCAGGCATGAGGATGAAAACGCATCCTTTAGGCACCGTCGAACCCAAGACCAATCGAGAGGTAACCAGTATCTTTTAGTTTTTGAAGTGAAACTGCTTTTCCGATCGGTTTAAAATTGACAAAGTTTCATACAAACTTTCATTCCCTATTTTATCCCCTTGGGGGTAGAATTGATCAACATCTTTTCTTAGCGGATGCCTACGTCATAACATCTACCTGCATGCCAAATTTCAGCCCGATCCGTCCAGTGGTTTGGGCTGTGCTTTGATAGATCAGGTATGTCAGTCAGTCAGTCACCTTTGAGTTTTATATATATAAATGTAGATAGATGCGTGTGTGTGCGTGTGTGTGTATGTGTGAAATACGTGCGCAGCTCTTCTTGACCAGCATGGAGGGTAACTCGGCGAAGGCAGAAACGCAACGAGCTTCACACGCGACAATATATGAGGCCATGAGAACCATAGTGGCCTAACTCATTATTTAACCATAGCGGCCTATCTTACTTAGGCCAGTATGGCACCTCAAATTTAGATCACAGACTAAAAACCGTAACAGTGATTATACTGCCATCTAGTGAATATTCGTTGTATCACTTTTAGACCACTCTGGTTCTATCAAAATGATCAATTTGAACTAAAAATAATCATAAACTGAATATTGTAAAAATAATAGGCCACTATGGTTCTCATGGCCTTATATCTTTATATATATAATTCTTCTGTGAGTGTGTATGTCACTGAACTTCTCTTAAACGACTGGACCGATTTTGATGAAATTTTTTGTGTGTGTTCAAGGGGATCTGAGAATGGTTTAGATTCACAATTTTGTCCGCTGGACAACCCCTATTTTTTTAGGGCGGTACGAAGTTCGCTGGGTCAGCTAGTATAGTATAAACATTTATATGATTTATGAGTGTGCTGCTCCATACCCCTATGCCTTATGCACCACCTAATAATAAATTCTTTAAATAAAACTAGTTGTTACGGGTTAATACACGAAACTTTATTTATTTATTGACGTTTCGTAGCCTTTACGGGCTACGTCGTCAGAATCAAACTTTTATTTCTTCTTTCTGACGACTTAGCCTGTAAAGGCTACGAAACGTCAATAAATAAATAAAGTTTCGTGCATTAACCCGTTAAAACTAGTTTTATTTAATGAGTGATGTGCGTGAAAACCCAAGAAACAAATATAATAAATTCTTTGTTTATTTTTCTTCACATAAGTAGAAAAAGAAATACAATAAAGTGCTTAATTACAATATTTAATTACTTAATGTGAAGACTGGTGCTTGCAATAGGATAAACCTGTTCTACAAGACACCAGGCCTCCACTCCCAAAACTACACACATCAAAAGTGTCTAGGGATCAACATATATTTTTGCAATAACTTTTCTCCTGATTGATATTAATTAAAATTTTCTTTAAGGATTCATCAAATAAAGTGTTTTCGTTTGTCACAGTAACGATAAACCAAGTCACCTTTGCATTAATAAAGAAATTTGCCATTTTCCTAATAAAGGGATTTTTGACATTTGAACCACTAACACAAAAGTTCGAAAAAAGACTGAAATAACAGTTTTCTCTAAAATTTTATTGGGTAACTTAAACAATTAATAATCCGTATTTCTACCGCGAACACTAACAACACAAGAACATCGGTTTGGCATACTCAAAATGAGTTCATCCAAATCACGCTGTGGAATGGCCGCCCATGTTCGTTGCAACAACAAAAAAAGGTCTTCTTGCGACTGGATACCCTCCATATTCGGCAGAGCTCTTCTCTGTAGCATATCCCATGCATGCTCAATCGGGTTCAAGTCTGGCGACTGAGCAGGCCAGGGCAGGACATTGATGTTAGCTGCGGCGAGAGTCTGTCTTACAACTCTTGCGGTGTGCGGTCGTGCATTATCATGCATTAACAATCGTCTCAGCATAAATTTGAGCGTTGAGGTTGCCTCTGATCCAAATCAACTCAGTTCTTCCGCCGATCCAAATACCCGCCCATACCATGATGGTTCCACCACTATAAGGATGGACTTCCTGGCAGGATTTTAATCGCTGTTGGCGTCCAGGGGTTCTCCAGTGTCGTATACGTCTTGTATCCGGTCTCATACCAAAACGAGACTCATCAGAAAAGCACACGAAACGCCATTGTTCTTCTGCCCAATTTCTGTGTTCAAGAGCCCATTGATATCGAATCCTACGATTGTGCATTGCTATAGGTGGTACCCGTAGCGGTCTTCAGGAATGAAGGTTCACTTCATGCAAGCGGTTTCTGACTGTTTGGTCGCTAATTAAGTTCCCTGAAGAGTGATGAAGCCTCACGGCTAACATCATGGCGGTTATTGTTGGAGCTCTTCGAGTTAAGATTTGAATGTATCGGTCTTGTCTCCGTGTGGTGCAGCGATACCGTCCTCCATGGCGCTCAGCCACGGTACCAGTGCTTCGGTATCGTGTCCAAAGTCGACTGATAACACTCTGACTTGTATTCAGAGCTAAAGCCACAGTACGTTGCCGGGAACCAGCTTCTATCATTCCCACGGCTCTGAGCATTTCTTCCCTGCTTAAATGACGTCGCCGCTCCATAATAACGTTGGTTTTAATCAGTAGTAGGGAAACAGTAGTACTAATAATGTCTTCAATGCGTTGTATGTTTTTATAGGGAAAATATTGACAGCTGATTTTCATCTTTTACTCGAATTTGATTCACAGTTCCTGATTCAAATTATGAAATGCACCAAAAAGGATCCATATAAATTTATAAAATCATAAATTTATTACAAAGCCACATCTCAATCTCAAGAAATCCGCATAAAATGCTTGATCCCTAGACACTTTTGATGTGTGTACATGAGCAGAGACCTAATGTTAGGTCATTAAAGAAACTAAGTTTCACTTCAGATGTGTGTGTGGTCCGTGCACACTATTTTTTTTACATAAATAGGTCCTAGCAAATGACTCTATCCCAGAAACCTTTACCACTGAGATAGCACCGCCCTGGCATGAGGATAAAGACGCAGCCCTTACGCAGCCTCGAATCCAAAACCAATGGAGAGGTAACCAGGTTATTTCCATTTTTTTTAATAAATCCTCCACGCGTAGACCTCCTTTGGCCAGAGTCTACGTGTGCCTCTACAGGACCCCTAGCACGAACCAATATCAAATTCATATCGTTTGCGAGTCCGAAATGTCATTTACGTACTTTGTGCCGCTGCTGTTCAAGTTTCCATACAAAATTTGACATTGACATTTCGGTTTGCAAACTATTCAAATTCGATAATGGTTCGTGCTGGGGGTACAGATCGAACACCGGCGACGCTGAGACAACTCGACTCTTTGACCATCTTAGTCGGGCAGCAGATGATGCCCAGACGCAATTTTGCGACGTCCTTTTATTTTATGAACCGAATGAATTATATATGAAATTAGGAAAAAAACGATAAAGGTGAAAAAAGGAAAATGTGAAATCAACCTTACAACTCATAAAATAAAATATTTTTACTAGTCATTGGCCAGCGATTTACTTCGTTTTGTATTAACCGAACTAATTTAAAATAAGAGATCACGCCTCAAGTGAGGCTATATTTACCGAGACGGATTTTACGCGCTGAATGTTGATCGAAGACTTATTCAGGCCGCCCACCTGATGTTAAGTGAAAAAAAGTTCAGTAACCTACTACTAATAGAGAGGTACTGCACTTAACATCCGCTAGACGCCCTGTAAAGAGAGCTAAGTACAAACCCAGCTCTAATGTTGATCCGATTTTCTCAGAGCATTTTCCAGCCTGAGTCTATAATACTCTTTTCAATCATAAATATACAATAAAAAATCTTATAACTTTAATCTAGACTTGCAACGAATATTCGGTTACTATTCGATTCGGCCTATTCGGCAGCTTTTATTATATTCGGCCGAATACTGAATATCTACTTATTATTCGGCCGAATACCGAATACTTAAATAATATATTTTGTCATAGAGAAATAATTAGTAAAATGAAAAATTAAAATCGATTAATTACGTATATATTCATATTTTCATTTCTGTTATATAAGGGTTGGACCTCATCTGGCAGCACGGAATCGCCTTTTTCCGTCGCCCTTTCTCTTTCTGTCGCTTAGAATTGCCATTTGCTAGACCGAGACAGTAAAAATAATGCGATAGCACGCGGCGGAATCCTCGAGGCGATCAGCATCACGGACAAAATGCAATGGTCGGCAGGGAGACTCCGGAACGCTGAAGCGCGCGATAGCATGCTAACGCATCCTTTCACCGCCGATCACTTGCTATCGCATGCTGTCTCACTCTATCGTACAATGGCGCACGCGGCCGCTCGCCAGCTCAGTGCAGCCTGTTCATTCATGCCGTACGGATGGAAATAACAATGACTGACGAAAATTTGATAGTTTTAGTGCAGAAATATACACGCTAGAATCACTGCTCTCTCTTCCGTGGTCCTATCCATCTCGCGCTTGAAACTAAACTGATTATGAACGAACGCCGCAGTATGCCACCCATGCTGCAGCATGCTGACGCGTGCGATCGCCTTTTTTGTCTGCGGAATGCGACAGCGCGAGTTCGCATGCGGCAGCATACTACAGCACGTGGTAGCACAGGCGGAACAAATGCGATTCCGTGCTGCCAGATGAGGTCCAACCCTAATCATTTAAGTAGTCATTGGTACATAACACAGGTACATAATCATCTTATGAATTGGAAAAATGGAGGAATCTATGTATTTGAATTATTGTGGTAATCAAAATTTAGAAGTTAAGGTTCACATTTCTTTTATAATCATTTATTAAGTAGTCATTGGTACATAAAACAGGTATTAATTTAATTATTTTCTGTATTAAACAAGTTAACAGTTTTTAATTCATTCAGTCATGTGATAAATGGTTACATAATAATTTAAAGTTTACGCGCCGTTTTTGGCCATATCTCAAAAGTTGGTTTTGTCATTTAGCCGCATTTTAGCTTGAGGACGGCAGATTAGAACAAAAGAAAAGCGAAACAATCACGTCTGTACAAGTTTTTGTTGCTAAAATCCAGCCGAATACTTTTGCCTAATATTCGGCTATTCGGTCAGGGGCCCGCCGAATATTCGGTATACTGCCGAATATACTATTCGTTGCAAGTCTACTTAATGCATGAATAATAAGAATGAAATCTCATTCTTATTATTACAGAAACACCAAATTTTACATGATTTACTGTTTGAAATTTCAGATATACAAACAAATATCGGAGCTTAGCGGGCAAACCTTCATGGACGTCGTAGCGCAAATCAAAGCGGACCCTTTCGGCGCCATCGCCGGCATCTACAACATCCAGACGCATCTACACCAAATGACAACAATGTCTGGCGCCGATCTCCTATGGTCTTCAAATACACAAGAAGCGAGGCCCCTTACACCGCCCGAATACCTCGCGAAGAATGAAGAAGCAGAGGCATCCAGCAGCAAAACATTTACGACCCTGAAGACATTCGCGCCCAAAAGACTGCCGATGCCGCCTAAACTACCAGACCCAACTCCCAATAGAATCACTCCAAATCTCCCTCTAAACGGTTCACATGCTACCGGCCAATCGAATCATCCAATCACGAGACTCAAACCTAACGACCAATCGAAACCGACGAAAGGCCCGCCAATACAGAGCCCCAGGTTTTCTATGGTCAGGCCAGTGACTGGTAGTTACGCACTAAAAAGTCCCGTGTTCAAAGTGTACGACAACGGCGACTGCGGGCTGGATCCGAGGCTGCCGAGTATAGAGGAACATTCCAATACAGAGTTGAGCGATCCGAAGAAATGTATAATGAGAAACATGAGAACTCCTTGCGTTAAGAAGGTCAATTTGGAAGAGAGGACGATCAGACTAAACAGCTGCCCGAATAGGAACGGGGAAGTGAAACGATCGGAGTTTTACAGGAGAGCCGGTGATGGATTGCCAAGGTGATAAATTCTTTTTTTTTGTTGACAGACCAAGATGACTGGCAATGAAGTTGTTTAAAAAACGCATTACAATGCGTTCTCTGAATATATCCAGAAAGTTACTAAAAACGCAATATTGCTACCGCGACCTTAATGGCTGTGTCGAATTTCTTCCAGTATTTCTTAGGCCGTAGACAGTGCCATCTCTTCGCATTGGTAATTGGTAGGTAACAACAATTGTCAAACGAAATACTTTTACAAATATTAAACATTGGAAAGAAGATTTCTGTGTGATGAATAAGATCACTTGTACTCCAGTGGTGGATTCTCAATATGTATTCCTATATTTCGACGACCTCCGTGGCCGAGTGGTTTATACGCCGGGTTTCATGGCGTCGCCGACTCGAGAGGTCCCGGGTTCGAATCCCGGTGGGGGCAGATGTTTGTGTGATGAGCACGAGCATTTGTACTCCAGTCATGGATGTTTAATATGTATTTCATATAAATATACTTATATATGTACAATATATGTATTCTATCCGTTACCCTAGTATCCCATAACACAAGCCTTTACAGTGCTTACTTTGGGGCTAGGCTAATTGGTGTGAGTGTTGGAAATATTTATTTATATAACTATACCTATATATGTGTATGTATCAGTATAATTGTATTCTATCCGTTGCCCTAGTATCCCATAACACAAGCCTACAGTGCTTACTCTGGGGCTAGGCTAATTGGTACGAGTGTTGGAAATATTTATTTATTTTCAGTTGGCGAGCTAGCGGGCCACTGAACGCACCACCAGCAAGAATACTCCTGCAGAACAACGCCACTACCATCAAACGAGCATCCCTAGGGTATGTACCTTGACCACGTTTTATACTAAAGGACATTGGGCAAAAATGTATGAACGCTGCACCCACGTCCGCCACGGCTTAAACTACATTTGTTTGAAAGGTATTATAGTCAAGATCATCTGTGCCAAAGCGCATCAAATTCTATCCCGGTGGTCTTTAGTTATTTTAAGTTAAATATATACCAGTACTATAACGAACGAAAGTTAATGAAACAAGGAAATTAATTTAGTTAGTTCGACCCTACATAGGGTGCTCATGAATTATGGGAGTACTTCACAAGGTGCAAGGGTGCCCTCTTATGTTATTCTGCCGCGCTAGAGTAAATCCAAAAATCCCCGCAAGGGTTGGGTTTTTTTTAAATATTCTGTTCGTTATAGTAAATTGTCTTCTATGTAAAACGGAGCGACACATATTACACAAACCTGTCCACGCTTCGGAGAACACATGATTCCAGTTCATCCATACTAATTGACAAAACCGATAATCGTGTTCCAATATCCAAAGCGTGTTAAATAAAAATCAATCAAGTAGCACGGAGCGCACAATCACAACGAAGTAAGACGAGTCGACTATTTGCAACTGCAATCCCTCCAGCATCCGTAAACCGTTTTGAAATGTCTCAGTAAGAGCAAGCGAAGGATGGTCTGCAGGCTTTGTCGTATATGTGTTTGTTATAGTACGATATGTCATATTATTATGATTACTAATAATATAAAATGAAGGTACTATAAAATGAATTTATTCAGCTACTTAAATATGCCCGCCCATGTGTCATATCTATTGACTACCAAGATATTTTTTACGGTGTCATATCTTTTGACTCCCAGGATATTTATTTTCGGTGTCATAATAAAAAAGGCTAGTTTTTCATAGATCTATCGATTCATACTAATTACATTGTTGGCGGAGCTGGGTGTGTTTTGCTCATTGTCCTTTGTTTCCACTTATTGGCAGAAAATGGGCAGTTTTTTTTTGTGTCTGTGGTTGCTCTGTTTTACACAGAAATTTCGCCAATGTCCAGTAGTGCGAGAGGTCACGAGAAAGACTCGGTGGAAACAGATTATGGTGGAATATCTTTATATATATAATTCTTCTGTGAGTGTGTATGTCACTGAACTTCTCTTAAACGACTGGACCGATTTTGATGAAATTTTTTGTGTGTGTTCAAGGGGATCTGAGAATGGTTTAGATTCACAATTTTGTCCGCTGGACAACCCCTATTTTTTTAGGGCGGTACGAAGTTCGCTGGGTCAACTAGTAGTCTATAAATAAATAACCGAATATCCGTTCTTCCTTGAGCTTTTCACTTTTCTGAAAGCAGGGCAGAAAATTAACACGTTCCCAAGATGAGGGATCTTGACATCTGTCAACAAGACAGACAGATAGACGGCCGTATAATTTTTTCATGTTAACTTAGAAGAGTGATGTTCTGTTCACAAGTTCAAGGGACTGTAGGACTTAGTATATGGTTAAAATTTCAACTCGATGCCTCCACACGTTCCTGAGATAAAGGCTCTTGACAGACAAACAGACGGACAACAAAGTGATCTCATAAGGGTTCCGGTTTTTTCCTTTTGACGAACGGAACCCTAAAAAACTACTGATGATGGAATAATTTAATCAGAATGGGTGTAAAATCATTACATTTTAATTACTTATCACAACTTCTTCGCTCTTTAAGTGAACATATCTATAAAGTTAATAAATTAATACAATACAATACAAAACTCTTTATTTTTACACCACAGAAAACATAAAACATATTTAAAGAATACAGTGTAATAATGGGCGGTCTTATCGCTAAGAGCGATCTCTTCCAGACAACCTTAGGATGGAAAGGACAAGAAAGAAACTTGGGAGACGGCGGTGTACTTAATTACATAAAACAACATAAAAATCATTCAAACAAATATGATCAAAATAAGTATATAAAACAATACACACATATGTATACCTACATGAATACATAAATAGTTATATACATAAATACATATTCAGTCAGCTAAGATCAACAAAAGTGGAAGGGTTACATATATAGGACATTATAGTGAGATCTAACAAGGTTTTTGAAAATGTGGAGAGATTTTGCATGTCTTATGGAAACTGGAAGAGCATTTCATAGGCGAACGGCTTGTACTGCGAAAGAACGGTCATAAAAAGTTGTACAGTGAACAGAAGTCATGAAAGTTAGATTTAAAATGAAGGACTAATAATGACCATATCACATTTGTAGAGTTCAATTTACTTTCAATGTCATTTCATAACGCTTATTATTTTTCTTTTACAGTAACATTGTCAGTCCGCACTCGTCGACAAACAGTCACTGCAAGAGCGAGAGAGGAATACCTGTGAGTGCACTGATTTACCTAACAGTACCCCTAGCACGAACCATTATCGTATTCGAATAGTTTGTAAACCGAAATGTCAATGTCAAATTTTGTATGGAAACTTAAACAGCAGCGGCACACAATACGTAATGAGAACTAAAAATCAGTATACATTTGACAATGACATTTCGGACTCGCAAACGATAGGAATTCGATATTGGTTCGTGCTAGGGGTACTGATCCTCTGCTCTAACGTTAATAGGGTTCGAATCCCAGTGTAAGATGAGAAAATTACAAATAATTTTGGGACCTAATGGGTTTGACTCAATAGGACTCATTCGCATTGCGTCACGATTTCAAAAAAGGTCCCATTCGCATTATGTCCTATCCGCATTAGGTCCTATTCGCATTTGGTCCCATTCCCATTTGGTCCCATTCGCAAATGGTCACACACTTAGTTTATTCTTTAACATTTTCATAATGGTGGTATATTTAAAACATGCAGCTTTTAATAACTGCGTGTATTTTTTCAAAAACCAACATTTTTACAAAATCAACGTAACAATATATTATCAAAATCAAATTATACCATCAATTATATCAAATTAAGTGAAGAATGAATGATTACTTTTACATCTGTAGAAAGATACATTTAAATTATTACAGATTAATTAAATTACAATTCAGTTCAAGACCACAATTCAGGACCTTTTTTGAAATCGTGTCAAAATGCGAACGGGACCATACTGCGTCAAACCCTTCTAATATTTATCTAAGCGCCAATCCTATCCGGACGGAAATAAACTAAGCCCAGGCAGGCTAATAAAATATATTTTATGAGCAAAGCTTGTTTAATAATTTACAACCATTATCCATAAAAGAATTTATCTAATATATACAATTCTCGTGTCGCGGTGTTTGTGGTTAAACTCCTCCGAAACTGCTTTCCCGATTCTCATGAAATTTTGTGTGCATATTGGGTAGGTCTGAGAATCGGATTACATCTATTTTTCATCCCCCTAAATGTTAAGGGATTACCCTTAACATTTAGGGGGATGAAAAACACCCCTAATTTTTTTTTTATTTTAGATTCTTTTTTTATTTTTTTTATGATACAGCATTAATACATACAACACTAAATTTTCACCCTTATACCACCAACCCCTATTTTTTATGACGGTACGAAGTTCACTGGATCAGCTAGTAACTATATAAAATTTTAATTTCAACTTTTTTTTTTACAGGTGGGATGGTATTCGAGCAGGGCTGTCAACAAGGAACCCCCGCACCTACAGCGATGGAGACGAACGACACCCCTGAAATAAACTTTGCTACACCTCTACGTTTTAACAACTTTTGTAGAACCATTTACTTGTCATCGTGATTGTAATTTTAAGTGAATAAAAAAAAGTTTATTCTAATTAAGTACGGGCATGGATTGCTTTTGGACGGACGCTTTTTTGGAATATTATTAACCCGTATTGTAGTTTTATTAGTTTTACATAAATCAATAGAGTGATATTAGTTACTTTCAGAGTATTTTATTCAAGCTTAATAAACAACAAAATAATAACTAACAATAACAATAATATAATAATTAACAATAATTAACATAAATAATAATTAATAATTAACATCGGGTAGGGTGGAGTTATCGGACCTATCTATAAAATTAAAAAACTGGCACGATTGGTTTTTCACAGGTTTTATTTAGGTTTTATTTTTTTTCACAGGTTATTTCTGAGGTAAAAGCATTCGTGCGAATGGAAACACTATCGGCAAATGGAATGCTTTGCCCGCTCAAGTTCTATAAATTAATAATAATAATCACGTTCTATAAAATAATAATAACATTATTTTCTTTAACATTGGTTTAGTCACATTCTATGCAAGTGATTGAATCCACCTGATAAGGCAAATAATGGTGTCGATTCTTCTCTAAACTTAAAACTCAATTTGACATCAGTCTCTCCTTTGCATTCTGTATAGAGAATGACAGGGATGCACTGTTGTCAAATTTAAGTTTAGCTTTAGAGAATCATGCTAGAATCGACATCAATGCCTGTTTATCTATCTTTAAAATTGGGGCAATATTAAACATTGTCACTGCCAATATATTGCCTTGCGACTCTTATTTTCTATTTTGATTCTGACAGGGCCGATCCAAGGGGGGGAGCTGGGCTTTTGCCCAGAGCGGCAAAAATTAGGGGCGGCAAAATTTACAAGTGCGGCAAAAAAAATTTGCCCGGAGCGGCAAAATTTCTAGATCGGACCCTAGATTCTGACGATAGAATTATAAACACGCGAAGGGTGGCGTCGCGTTTCAGTTTTTCGGCCTTTAATGAACTCTACTGTGCCAACACGAGATCTCTATTTACTTTAATATATCTCTGTAATAAAACAAGTTTCAACGGTATAGACCCACTGATTTATTTATTTACTAGCGGCCCGCCCTCGCTTTGCTTCGGTGTAGAGCTGAAGTGTAGACTACAGTTTTTGATCTCAGGCTTGTATTATACACAATGACATTCATCTATGATTCTTCTTATACTTGCATGCAAAGTCTCAGCCCGATCGGTTTTAAAATTGACAAAGTTTCATACAAACTTTCATTTCCTATTTTATTTATTTATACCATTTATTTATAGACCAGGGTCGATAATTTTTGAGACCAAAAAAAATTATAGTAGGATGAAACCCATTAGAAAAGGTAGAGAATATAACAAAAATGAAAGGAAAAATAAATTACGGGCGATCTGAGTTCGGGAAGGGGGAGGGGGTGAGTTTTTAAGGGTAAAAAATGGTTAATCTCGATTTCCGGTAAAACTGCAAGTCCTATGAAAAAAAGTTAAATGGCAAAGTTGTAGGTAATAAAAAGATCTACAACTTTTGTATCGACACTTTTTTCACATAACCTCAAAATTTATGTGAAAAATGCGAATAACCGAGTTTTTGGTTTTTGATTTTTATTTTTTGCAAAAAAAAATATTTTTTCACGAAATTTGGTGAAAACTTACCTTTGTATGTCCCAAACATACAGTAATTTTTTTGATTTAAAATATTCATTTTTTCACCTTGTTTTGACTTAACATCGAAAAAGCACCCTTATTTTCAATAGAACATTCTCACGTCAAAATATCTGCTTTTTTAAAAAAGTTGGGGTGTTTTTTGTTTGTTGAAATCTCTACTTTCTGATGGTATAAAAAAAATATACACTACTATGGTAAATGTTCTCAGAAACTGCAAATTAATAATGAAAAAAACTCCAATCCGAAAAATTGATTTGAATCATTGTATAATTTTGAACTATTTATTAAAATTTACACTTTAATTACTCGAAAACCGTAAGATTTCATGTTATATTGATAAACAGAAAAATTACAAATCCATAAAACATGCAAAAATAGTTGTTGTAAGTAGGTACTAGAGGCCTGCGTTCACAAACAATTATCTCAATTTGTCCACAAAAATTCATTGATGAACCCCCTCCAATCCGGATTTAGGCCAGGACATAGCACAGTTTCAGCTCTCTTAAAGGTGACTGGCGATATTAGGGCGGGAATGGAGAACGGTAAAGTAACATGTTTAGTACTTATCGATTTCTCCAATGCTTTTAATACAGTCAGTCACGATATTCTCCTTTCTATACTATCTCATCTTATGGTCTCTGACGATGTGTTGACTTGGTTCTCTTCTTATCTTCGGGACCGCCAGCAGTTGGTCCGGTCTGGGGAATCTTCCTCATCCTGGCGCAACCTGGAAACTGGTGTTCCCCAAGGCGGTATTCTCTCTCCTCTTCTTTTTTCTACTTTTATTGATTTTATCACTCACAATCTTCAGTGTTCGTATCATCTATATGCTGATGACTTACAATTATATACCGAAGCAAGCATCGACAATTTAAACGAAGCCATTGATGCTCTAAACAGTGACCTAGTTGCTATTAAAACCTGGTCGGAAAAATTCGGGGTCACTGTCAATGCTTCAAAATGCCAAGCTATTGTATTAGGGGGGTCAAGGATGATGAGCAAAATTGACATCAACAGTCTTGGTTCCATCATTCATGACGCCACTACAATACCTTTTTGCAACGCCGTTAAAGATCTAGGCTTGTATATCGACTCGAGTTTTAAATGGCAGGACCAAGTTAGTAGTGTCTGTAAAAAAGTAACGGGAACCCTGCGTGCCCTTTATCGAATGAAAAATTTTTTGCCGGTCAATATCAAGGCAATGCTTGTGCAAACCTTAATATTTCCCATAATCGACTATGGTGATTTGTGCTAATTCGACCTGAATGCAGATCTACTCAACAAACTTGATCGTCTTCAGAATAACTGCATTCGATTCGTTTTCAATCTGAGAAAATATGACCATGTTTCCGCATACCGATCTCTCTTAAAATGGATGCCCATTAGGCAGCGCAGAACTATGCGGGCTCTGACCACCCTGTTCTCTTTGCTAGATTCTCCAAATGTTCCCCCTTATCTCACTTCTCAATTTCAGTACTTATGTACCTCTCATAGTAAAAATCTTCGATCTTCTTCTAATCGTTTACTTATCGTTCCATCACACTGCTCCGATATTATTCACTCTTCCTTCTTCGTAAAAACGATACTTTTGTGGAATGATCTCCCGCTAGATATCAGAATGTCCCCCAGTAAATATACCTTTAAAACCAAACTGCGAAGCTTTTTATTAGAACAGGCGTTTCATAGAGTGGTTTGTCGTCATTATTTTGTATTTATTTTGGAATGTTTATATATTATTATTTTTATAAACTTTCTTTCCATGTGATTTCCACTTCAGTTGTGCACCCTACCACTAATAATCTCCACAACATCCTATGGTTGACTGGTAGAGAATGCCTACGGCATTAAGTCCGCCATTGTACATTTGTGTATAAAGAATAAATAAATAAATAAAATAAATATTAAAAATAGGATTTTCGGATTCGAGTTTTTTTCATTATTAATTTGCATTTTCTGAGAACATTTATCATAGTAGTGTATATTTTTTTTATACCATCAGAAAGTAGAGATTTCAACAAACAAAAAACACCCCAACTTTTTTAAAAAAGCAGATATTTTGACGTGAGAATTTTCGATTGAAAATAAGGGTGTTTTTTGGGTATTAAGTCAAAATAAGGTGAAAAAATGAATATTTTAAATCAAAAAAATTACTGTATGTTTGGGACATACAAAGGTAAGTTTTCACCAAATTTCGTGAAAAAATATTTTTTTTGCATATATAAAAACCAAAAACTCGGTTATTCGCATTTTTCACATAAATTTTGAGGTTATGTGAAAAAAGTGTCCATACAAAAGTTGTAGATCTTTTTATTAGCTACAACTTTGCCATTTAACTTTTTTCATAGGACTTGCAGTTTTACCGGAAATCGAGATTAACCATTTTTTACCCTTAAAAACTCACCCCCTCCCCCTTCCCGACCTCAGATCGCCCGTAGTTTATTTTTCCTTTTATTTTTGTTATATTCTCTACCTTTTCTAATGGGTTTCATCCTACTATATTTTTTTTTCACTTTTCACCATTTTTAAAATTATCGACCCAGGGGCCCAATTCTCGCGGCGTAGATATTATATCGTCTTCGAGATAATATCGAAAGTAGGGATATCTATTGAAAATATCTACTGATGGTAAAAAATGCTATTGGGCCCAATTCTGGCGTGCCAACTTATATCTAAAACTAACTAAAATTAGATATAGAATTGTCAAATTCAATTTGGTATTCTGTAATGACACACTATCTCTAAATTTAAAATTGACGTTGCTAAGTTATTCAACTTAGATTTAGATGATTAAATGGTATTCTGAAACGCGTTCTATGTGTCATATTTTCTCTAAAATTAGAAATGTCACACTAAATTTAAGAAGGACCTACGGAGGTCCTCTCTAAATTTAAATGTGAATAATTGGGGCCAAATATCACGAAAATGATTGCTGTACTTGAGTTTTGAACTTGTTGTTAAGGTTGGATATGGGTTTATTTCGTTAAAAAAAGACATTTTTATACAATAATGAACAACGACGGTGATAATAATATATTAGCTGGATCGTTTTTTTTAAAGGGTCTATGTTACGATGCGGATTTATTATAAGCCTATTAATGTGTCATGCTTATAATAAATCCGAGCTGCAGCGAGCAGCAACATAGGAACTCGATTAAATACATTTTGGGTTGGTCACCCATCCTAAGATCGGCCATTGTGAAAATTGCTTAACATTCACGATCGCAGAACGAAAGCGTTACATTTGCGCTATTGTGGTCTTTCGTAGGTAATGTACACGTATATCTTGTATAAAATATTAAATAATTTAAGGTAAAATCTTATATAACAAATAAAAATCCACTTCATATAAAAACATCCGAAAAAGGTAAAAAATCTATGTACTAATTCTATAAGTAATACTTACAGATCCTACTTATATCTAAAGTACATAGTCAAATAATTAACAAGATAATAGAGGTATGGTGTCAGTGATTTGAATTCCAATCACCAATTGCAATCCAAATGTTGCAATTAAATGTAGGTACTTTAGACTTTAATGTATTATTTGTCCCTTTGTTTTATGTGGTTTTGTTTCTATGAAGCAGTTTTTAATACCTATTAGTTAGAAATGTTTTTATTTCCAACTTTTTATAAGCTAATCATATTTCTTAAAATAACCAAACACGAAATAAGTACCTACTGTTTGTAATTGAAAAGTTTGTTTTTATATATCCTAAACTGGATATCTTCACCAAATGAATAATTGGGATGATCTCGCCAAAAACTGATAGAAACAAAAAGATAAAAATAGGTCACGCATCTCGGATTATACAATAAATGAGAATAAAATCTTCACAAAACAGCCGAAGGGATAATTTTACAACCTCTTACCGAAACCGAAATTATAGGTATTAGATAGATACGCTGGATTGGGAATTTACGATGCGAGAAATTTTCAAGGATGGTTCACGTTAGACCCTGTCGGCCGTAGCAGAGTTAACTAATCATCATCATCAGCCTATTAATGACCCCATTGCTGGGGCGCAGGCCTTCCCTATGGATGAAATAGAGAGATTAGGCCATGACCCACCACGCAGGCCCAGTGCGGATTGGCGGGTGCTAACGACTGCAGATGCAGCCGGGAGAACGAGGAACTCGACATAGAAGATTTTTGGTCACCCATCCAATGACCGACCACTGCGAAAGTTGCTTAACTTCAACGATCGCAGCCGAACGAGCTAATCGTCTGCGCCATCGAACTTCTCTAGTTAACTAATATTAAATAATTTATTTTACATGGATTAAAGACATAATCCATGTAAAATATAACATTCACGCTATTTATACGCTATATGCTCGGTTGTCATGCAGTAACCGACTGACAACCGAGCAACAAATGAAACAACGCTCGGAAAAAACTTGGTCCCGCCTCGGCTCGGCCACGGCCCGTTGCATGAATACAGCGCCGGCGCGGTGCCGCCGGGCAATCGTAGTGATACCTCAGACAAAACAATAAACATTTTTGCTCGGACGAGTACACTTACCCTATTTACTTTATCTGAATGATTAGACTGCATCACGGCGCAATGGTACCTACCTAATTGCTCGTTCGATGCACTTCTTTGTAATTTTTTTTCGTCACATCGTTTAGCCCAAAAAATACTTGGCTTTTTCAAAGAAAAAATATGATTCCTTCTCTTCTAAGTTAAGTTCTCCTCGCAGATTACATTTCTCCAAGTTCTTATTTTTTCCCAAAATAAGGATAAACACTCCCAATCTAGAAACCCTAAGTACCTCAGAGTAGGCAAGTATTCACTCTTTAATATTGCTTCATAATTTCTCATACAGTAAAATAACAAAGTTATGTAAAGTTTTCATATTTCAAAGATGATGAAGAACAACAAAGATTTACTTAAAATAAGTCAAAATCACTGAATAATAAGTAATTATTGCTAATTTGAGTAAACCGATAATTACCGGTTCAATGCTTTTACATAATCTGTGAATTTAATTTAGATGCTCGTTTACAGCTGTCAACTGTTCTCTTAATTTAGTTAGTTAGCAATTTCAGAATACCAATTCTCTAACCCTAATCTAAAATTAGCACTCTAATTTTAAGTTTAGGTTTAGAGAATGTAACGCCAGAATTGGTCCCATTCTCGTGGATTTTCGATATTCCAATGATATTATATCTATCGTAGATATTCTTTCACTGCCGAATGCGTTCCGTTTTTCTCGATTAAGTTAACATCATAGTCTATATAAAATAATAATAAATTAGAGCAGAATTTTACAAGCAACAAAATGATATTTTATGAATTCCATTCATATTAAATATGAGTATACATTTTTTGAGTATAAGAAATCTCAACTTTACCTAAATTGTATGCGTATATAATTTCAACGTTAAGTATAATGAAACGTCAATATTATTAAAGATTTTCCCTTTTCAGGGAAGGCAAAGGGAACAATGCCCATAAAGCCTAGTCTTTAGTTATATTAATCTGCTTTTTTTTACATTCGATTGTCGGTGTGCCGCATTCTAATGTTTCTTGGAGTGTTTGGCACGAAATTTATGGAGTTGGCTTTTTCTCTAAGCTTCTGTGAGGTAGTCAACACTACAATAAAGTTTTCGCGTCCACTTGACCGGAATAGCGTATATTTTAAAGATTCCACTAATTCTTCAGTTGCGCAGACGGTTGTTACACCAAATCACACCAATTTTATTTCACAATATCCACTATGAACGAATTTTAGAATAATTAAAATAAGATGCCAACCGCACTCGCAGGAATCCCGCCAAAACTCCGTATCATCAATAAGAAAATGGTGTCGATTCTGGCATGATTCTGTAAACCTAAACGTAAATTTGACAACAGTGTATCCTTGTCATTCTCCATACAGAATGAAAAGGAGAGACTGATGTTAAATTTAGTTTTAAGTTTAGAGAATCGTGTCAGAATCGATACCAATGTCATTCATAACTAAAAATTTCTAACCAAATTTTTGTTTAAACGTAATTTTTTTATGAAGTCGGCGTCCCTCATTTCAAATGGGCCCTCTTGCTCTCACAACGGCGGCACCTTAGCACAGCAGCAGCAATCACGTCATTTATTAAATCATTGACGAAAACATGAATCAACTCATCCATCGTTAATATAAACTGGTGTCGATTCTGGCACGATTCTCTAAATCTAAACTTAAACTTGACAACAGTGTTTCCTTGTCATTCTCTATACAGAATGAAAAAGAGAGACTGATGTTAAATTTAGTTTTAAGTTTAGAGAATCACGCCAGAATCGACACCATTGTTTACCTACTTCTTTATTTACTAATTATTTATGAAGGCAGTTAACAACATCTTGAGGTAACAATAATTGGCAAAGACACACGACAACAAAATAAATAATAGGTAAAAAAAGTGGAAATAACAAGATTGACATGCCAAGATCCATAGATATTTATATATCGAAGGCTCTTTACCAGTCGATGTATGTCTACTGATCATCCGTAGATAAATATCTATTGCGACATGGTGAGAATAGGGCAAAAAGGTTTTCCTTCGATAAAAGCCAGATCATTCGATATATATCGAAAGTGATATAATATCTATGCCGCGAGAATTGGGCCCCTGGTCTAATATAGATAGATGACGTTGCGCAATTTTGCCGAAACTTGTTTTATTAAAGCAGTGGTGTGCGTGAAAACTTAAGAATAAAGAAAAAATACGTGTCTTCTGATAGACTAAGAAAAAAAAGATCATTATTATAAAGTCTGTTTTTTTTAATCTGGGAGACAAAAATGGCTTGCAAATAATGATAACAGCTTTTATTGGTTTTGTTGATACCTTTCATGATCTACAATTTTATGTTTGAGGTAATTTTACGGTAAAACATTTTGATAAAAAAACGAGAGCCAAAACCATTTTTTTTCTATGTTAGACCTCGGCAAAAAAAACCATGTAAAGGAACGATGGGGAATTCTGAAATGTTATTTATTTGGGTTAGATTAGGTATCAATAGAACACTCCCCCGAGAAGGGCTCCCCTGGTGGAAGCAGGGGAGCAAAGGCTGCGGGTCCTCTGATGCGATACTCGATCCTGAGGCCCCGTACAATGCCTGGTGGCGGCCATCGCTGGGGTTTTAGTGGGTAGGCCTCCCCCTTCTGGGGAGGAGAGCCCCACACCACCACACCACCATGTGGTATGCAATTTCATGCAGCTTAACAATAGATTTTTTTATTTTGTACCCCTTCGTCTGTGTAGCAATCAACTTTGTTTTTACCGGCCCGAAAATCAAACAGTTTTCCATCCGATTTCCCTCTTATTATTCGAATTCTACTGTACATCCAAGCTTTATTTATGTCTTAAATAAATCCTAAATAGTTTCTCTACAAACTTATCTATATATTAGAGGTGTAAATTAAAACCATTACTAAATATTATGATAAAACGCAAAATAGTAAAATTGAAAATATGAAAATATTTTTTTCAACAACTGGCAGAAATCGTCCACTTACACAGACGAGTGGATGAACGGTTAATATAAACTCTTACATAAGCAAATTCTTTAGTAGGAATATAATGTTGCTAGTAGTTATTCTCTGACAAAAAAAAATCACATGACTACTTGGTTAGGACTTCTCATTTTTGACAGATTAAGAATTGCAATAAAGCGGCAACATTTTTGTCTGAGATTAATAAACAGACTTTAGTATGTTATAACTTTTATTTTTAAAACATGTAACTACCTGATGTTTAAATCTAAAGAAAATATTACTAGAAATGCACTGGCCATCAGGGCCGCGGTAGCATAATGGTCAGTGCATTCACCCGGATAGCAAAGGGAGCAGGTTCGAGACCCGTCTTCTGCCTGGTCCACGCGGAATTTTTTCTAGTAATATTTTCTTTAGATTTAAGACTAGGCCGTATACAGAAAGAAAGCTGGAAGCCGACCAGCGCTTATAGGAACCGGTTCGCACAGGGGGCCATTCACCTAACAGAAATGCTTTGGAAAACGCTAACGCTTACAATTTCATTTTGTTATTTCTAGCCGTCTGAAGTTTTCAAATGGCTCACGCTCTTTTCTCTTTTGCATTTTCTCATATCAGTTAGGCGAATGGCCCCCAAGTAACTGGCGCAGTCATTTCTATGGTCCAGCGCCGATAAGCGCCGAACGTCGCCGACAAGTTCCGATAATCTTCGACGCGCTGGCACCGCCCTTTGAAATTAATGAACAACTACGCTTCAATCTGCTTCCTATATGTAACTGTTACCAGTAAGGCCCAGCGCTGATAAGCGCTGGTCGGCTTCCAGCTTCCTTTCTGTATACGGCTTTAGTGTGGTTACTCACGTTTGGTCAGTGGTATGGCATATGGGCAGGGTTGGCCATAGTGGCCATCCGCATGTAGGCAGTATGCGGCCGGACTAGAGGCGGGGAATCCCCCGCCATCGGCTCGTTCTTGAACACGGCCACGCAACGCCATTGGTTCAGGTATTGCACTGCAAACGGAATTGTACAATTCGTTTACATACAAAAGGCATACCAACACATCGAAAGTGACAAGGAATGTTGTATTTTTTTGCAATAAAAATATCTAATTCATTCTAATATTATAAATGCGAATATGTGTCCATCTGTCCGTTTGTTTGGTACTTCTTCACGCGGTGTTGTAAGAAAAAGAGGAAGGTTCACTAAGAAGAAAAGTGACAGGAAAGTAAGACGATAGGAGAATATATATTTCATAATTATAAGATAGGTTAGAGGGGACGTAAATTGGAGCAAAGCTCTAGTATCAAAACTGCTTAGTCAACAGCTTCGCACGCTGCAGAAGCGCATCCAGAACGCATCCTAATTGCATCCAATCCAAACAGATTGGGTACAGCAACTCACTAAGTTTCCTTGGTGTTTGACTACAGTGATTGGCGGCTTCCCTCTATAACAAATGTTCTAACGACTCACTCTTCCAGAGTCGCACGCAGCAATCGGACGCCAGTAGTAAGTATTCCAGTCAGACTCCACCAGATTCACCACGTTAATTACGAGTAATGTTCCTAAAACGCAGCCAACACTTTGGAAGAGTGAGTCATTACAACACTTTTTATTTTAGGAAATCGCTAATTATTATCCAAGTGTAGACTGCGTTCAAGGAACATTTATCGTGCGCATGGCGAGTCTCGTGGAATCTGACCGGAACACTACTGGCTTCCTCTGGGGATGATTGCTGCGTGCGACTCTGGAAGAGTGAGTCATTACAACAGCTTTTATTTTGGGAAATCGCCATTTATTATCAGAGTCGCACGCAGCAATCATCCCCAGAGGAAGCCAATAGTGTTCCGGTCAGATTCCACGTGACTCGCCATGCGCACGATAAATGTTCCTTGAACGCAGTCTACACTTGGATAATAATTAGCGATTTCCTAAAATAAAAGGTGTTGTAATGACTCACTCTTCCAGAGTCGCACGCAGCAATCATCCCCAGAGGAAGCCAGTAGTGTTCCGGTCAGATTCCACGAGACTCGCCATGCGCACGATAAATGTTCCTTGAACGCAGTCTACACTTGGATAATAATTAGCGATTTCCTAAAATAAAAAGTGTTGTAATGACTCACTCTTCCAGAGTCGGACGCAGCAATCATCCCCAGAGGAAGCCAGTAGTGTTCCGGTCAGATTCCACGAGACTCGCCATGCGCACGATAAATGTTCCTTGAACGCAGTCTACACTTGGATAATAATTAGCGATTTCCTAAAATAAAAAGTGTTGTAATGACTCACTCTTCCAGAGTCGGACGCAGCAATCATCCCCAGAGGAAGCCAGTAGTGTTCCGGTCAGATTCTACAAGACTCGCCACGCGCACGAGAAATGTTCCTAAAACGCAGCCAACACTTTGATAATAATTGGCGATTACAAATAATAATAATAATATTTAGTCGTGATAATTGTTCGCACGCAGCAATCATCCCCAGAGGAAGCCAGTAGTGTTCCGGTCAGATTCCACGAGACTCGCCACGCGCTCGGGAAATGTTCCTAAAACGCAGCCAACACTTTGATAATAATTGGCGATTTCCTAAAATAAAAGGTGTTCTGATGACTCACTCTTCCAGAGTCGCACGCAGCAATCATCCCCAGAGGAAGCAAGTAGTGTTCCGGTCAGATATCACAAGACATGCACGAGTAATGTTCCTAAAACGCAGCCAACACTTGCGATAAAATTGGCGATTTCCTAAAATAAAAGGTGCTGTAATGACTCACTCTTCCAGAGTCGCACGCAGCAATCATCCCCATAGGAAGCCAGTAGTGTTCCGGTCAGATTCCACGAGACTCGCCACGCGCACGAGAAATGTTCCTAAAACGTAGCCAACACTTTGATAATAATTGGCGATTTCCTAAAATAAAAGGTGTTGTAATGACTCACTCTTCCAGAGTTGCACGCAGCAATCATCCCCAGAGGAAGCCAGTAGTGTTCCGGTCAGATTCCACGTGACTCGCCCAGAGGAAGCCAGTAATATTCCGGTCAGATTTCACAAGACATGCACGAATAATGTTCCTATAACGCAGCCAACACTTGGATAATAATTGGCGATTTCCTAAAATAAAAGGTGTTCTGTTGACTCACTCTTCCAGAGTCGCACGCAGCAATCATCCCCAGAGGAAGCCAGTAGTGTTCCGGTCAGATTCCACGAGACTCGCCACGCGCACGAGAAATGTTCCTCGAACGCGGCCAATACTTCGGTCTTGAAACGACCGCCGCCGTTAGTGCTGTTCGGGTTGTTCCAGTCGCTTCACAAGAGATTTTGGACGTTTAATTAACAGTAACAAATATATATGTAGGAGTCAGCAGCTTCAATCAAAATAAAGAAGCAATTTTAGTAGAGAGGTTTCTTTTGTTCAACTTGCGTTTGTAACTTTAGAATAGTTTTTTCATTCAGGAAACATAGATCTGAATGTATGTAAATTTACTAAAATTTTGACTGCTAAATTAGAAATCTATGTGGCAAAAAATCTAAAGTAATAAATTTGACATATATTATATCTCCTCAGAATAAAATAATTTGCAAGGTTTCTTAATTTGTTAATGGAAAAAAATCAAACAACAGAAAAGAAACAAATTTACAATAAAGATACTACCAAATGGCTACAATTGACGATGACGACCTCCGTAACCGAGTGGTTTGTACGCCGGGTTGCAAGGTGACGCCTATTCGAGAGGTCCCGGGTTCGAATCCCGGTGGGACAGTTGTTTGTGTAATGAATATGAGCATTTGTACTCCAGTCATGAATGTTTTTTATATGTATTTCCATACAAATATACTTACATATATGTATTCTGTCCGTTACCCTAGTATCTCATAACACAAGCCTACGGTGCTTACATTGGGGCTAGGCTAATTGGTTTGTGTTGGAAATATTTATTACTATTATTATTTTTTAACTGCGAGGGATATAAAGCTTTAACAACCACTTACCCACTCTAGGTTAGGGTCCAATGCAGGACAGTGTAACATAAGGAATCTCTCTGAATTATACTCGGCCATTTGATTTATGGTGACAGCTGCTTATAATGGCGGCATATGTACAAAGTAATAAAACACGCCAAGACAGACGAAAATGAAATAAGAAAAGGACGGAGATATTCCTTATGTTACACAGTGCCCTTTGTTACACTGGACCCCTTGTTACACTGTACCCCTTGTTACACTGTACCTCTTGTAACACTGTCTCCCACTTGCCTATATACCTAAACATATTTCATTGCTACGACATTTTAATGATACCGATACGATTTTAACACAATTTTCACTAATAGGTGACAATTTAATTCAACCATTTTAAATCTGTGCGAAATCGAGATTGGTTTGGTTAAGTTGTTAATACAAATGTCTACTTACACAATAGGCTCAATCTTAATGATGCGGACATCCTTAGTGGCCACGGCGAGCAGGTGGAAGGAGCGGCCCAGGTTGGGAGCGAACGCTATATCGTTCACGGGCTCCAGGACCGAGGAGAGGCAATCCGTGCGGGTCCAACGACGAGAGCCTTCGCTGTACCTACAATGGATCATAATGGGTTGTTAAAACATCACGACGCAACACAAATTATATCATCATCATCAGCCTATTAATGTCCCCACTGCTGGGGCACAGGCCTTCCCTATGAATGGAATAGGGAGATTGGGCCATGACCCACCACGCGGGCCCAGTGCGGATTGGTGGGTGCTAACGACTGCAGATGCAGTCGGGACCAACGGCTTAACGTGGGACATTGATAGGCTGATGATGATGATGATGAAATACTCTAACTTGGTTCTGATTGCGTCGTTGCTCTCGGGTGAGAGCGCTGATTGGTTCGATTGTTTGATGTCGCGACGTTTGATTGGCTATTATCTATTAAGTGGAAGTGTAGTGGTGGCGATCCGGCGGCATAGGATCCCATACAAACGGTCTACGAACACCCTTCTTATCTCTTTCCGTGTTCTGTGTACTCATCCATGTATCTCCCACACCTATGGGACGAGGCTTCGAGTTTAGCTTTGGTACTAAATGCGCTAAAATTAAGCGTTCGAAATTCGAATTAGTTCTGTCGTAATCAATAAGCGGGCTACATGATAGCTTGACCATCCATAATTTGACACGCTAAAAGAGGTTGTGGAAAACGTTAATTTAAGCGCATTTTATTACTAAAGCCACCCCAAGCTTCGTCACGACGGTGTGAGATAAGCAGACAACACTATCACGATAATTCAAAGATTTGTTTGTTCACTTCACTGCCGGTAAAATTATGCACATTAAAAGGCTTTATATGCTGTGTGTTTTCATGTACATAGTATTTATTATCTTACTAGTGGCCCGCCTTCGCTTCGCTTCGGTGTAGAGCTGAAGTGAAGACTACAGTTTTTGTTCTGAGGCTTGTATTATACACAATGACATTCATCTATGATTCTTCTTATACCTGCATGCAAATTCTCAGCCCGATCGGTTTAAAATTGACAAAGTTTCATACATACTTTCATGCCTACGTCATAACATCTACTTGCATGCCAAATTTCAGCCTGATCCGTCCAGTGGTTTGGGCTGTGCGTTGATAGATCACTATGTCAGTCACCTTTGAGTTTTATTTATATAGATGATGATAATGAATTGGAGTAATGATAGAATAGAAATATAAACGCTAAGACCAAAACCACAAAAAAAATACATTTAAATTAGAGAAAAAAAAGATCTTTCTCAAATTTAAATGTATTTTTTATTTTAGGAAAGGTAGACCTTTCCAGCTAATATATCACAATGTTCAGTATTGTCAACCATGGCTAGTACACTTTATTGTATATCAAATTGTGGTTTTATCTCAATATCGGGACAAATCTTCATGCCGTAATGTAACCGCAGTATTAGTCATCATCATTAGTTATTATTTAAGATCAATTATGATAAATAAATTATGGTTGGTTAAGATTCTGGATGCTTAGGATTCACAAATGGATCCAGTAGTTAATAAGGTGCATTACATTAAAATAAGTTAGGTCACCATAATTCAACTACAATATTTTTATATCTTATAATATTCAAGTATATATAAAACAAGTTTCAACATAAAAAGTCATCGGAATAATGATATTTTTATATAAAACGACGCATTCCTGCAAAGGATGCAAAACATCAATAAATAAATAAAATCAGTGCATCTTACCCATTGAAACTTAATATATTTTATTTAATGAGTGATGTATGTGAATACCTAAGAAACAAATATTCAAGTATACTTTTATAGTACATAGAACTAAAGAACTTACTCATATATGAACACTTTTCCGTTGCATGCAGTACTTTTATCAGTTTGTACATTGGCTATTGCATTTGTTGTGTTAGGTTCATCACTTCCTACAGCTAACATAGGTGGATTTATTCTGTAGAAATAGAAAAATAAGTAACATTATAGCAAAAATATTTATCTCTTTTTTTTTCAATTAAACAAATTAATCAACATACTTGGACATAGAAGGATTCCATGTTAAGCAACTTATTGAGACTTTAGTTGGGATTTCGTGCTGCAAAGTCCACTGTGCTAAGTTCATAACATCTGGTGCTTCATATATCCTAAAAGAAAGATATGTAACTATATAAAGTATTTTAATATGCTTTTAACAAAAATGTGCTATACCATTACCCATACACATGGTTATTCTTTCAGACGTTGACAGAGGACTATTTCATATTTTGGATTAATAAAGCATTTAAAGTGCATATATGGCACCTGAAGACAAACACATGTAGATGAGCCATTCTTGGAACAACTAAATATTATGAAATATATATTTTATTGTTTCTAATTAAGATTTAATTGGAATACAATTGTACAAATTTAAGCTTTATAAAAACTTAACGGTTACATGCTAAGGGTCTAACCAGTAAATTTTAACAATTTGACCTTATTATCATTTCGTACAATGATAATAAGGTGAAATTGAAGCAAGCTACGTACATTTCGCCCGCTCATCATTTTACTAATTGACCTTATTTTATTATTTTCAATAATTGTCAATTACTTACATGTTAGTTTGCAATTAGCTATCAAGTAAGCCGTGCACGTAATCATTTATAACAATCATTTTTATATCAATAAGTATTGTTTTAAGTTATTGTTTAGTTACAAAAATATACTTTATTATCAAGTTTATCTTTTATCAGTATCTTATTTTCGGTACATCCCGAACAATCATACCTTATTATACCATCAGCTGAACATGTGACTAACAGTAAACCCAAATGTTTAGGCCCGAATTTAACATCAGTTACAGAAGTTCTAGAATCAACTAGGTTTGATCGTTTCACCCAGGTGCGTAAACCCTTCTCGGACCCTGATGAATTTGTGTCCCCTGTAATAAAATGTTTTTATTAATAAACCTTTATTTTAAATATTGAGTCCCCAAACAAGCATCAGAAATTAAATCTACAAAGATGTAGTAAAAGAACACCCGAAATCTACTTTGATTCCGATGTATATTAATACTGCCTGCTCTGATACCAAATCCTACTCCATCGAACCCTGATAACTTTACTCGAAAACGACACCACCAAAAAGTGCAAGATAATATCTTCTCTCTACTTACCTACTTCTTCCCACACTGCTGCAGTTCGATCAAAAGAACATGTGGCGATGACTTGCCCAAATTCAGGATGTGCCCAAGTGACTTTCCACACAGAGCCATGGTGGGCCTTCCAACTGCCGGTTAGCCTCCACCCACCCTTATTATCAGAATCCCAGATCTATAAATATATTGATAAAATTAATAACTGCTTACAATTAAGAGGATAAATATAGAATAACGTACTTAAGAGAAGCAATGTTGCATGTATAACTTATGAAAAAAGCATTTAATTTAAAATTAACCTACCTTAACGTACTGATCGCTAGAGCAAGTAGCCATTCTTTCGCCGTAAAAATCGTAAGCAACATCGTGTATGAGATCCTTGTGATCAGCAAATATGGTTTGTGATTCAAATAAATTTGTTATGCTTTGATCTCCCATAGTTTGCAAGAAAACCCGCTTCTTTGGAAATAAAAGAGCCACACGGAACGCAAACACACCACCAAAGCAACACCACAAAATTGACAATCTATTGTCAATATGACATTACCTTTTTTTTTTAGTTCTATTCTTCTCTATTGAGAACGGCAAAGGCGTAGCCATGCAGCCATCGTCTTATTTTTGTATTAATCTTCCTTTTTTTTACATTAGAATGTGGGTGTGACGCATTCTAATGCTTCTTGGAGTGTTTGGCACGAAATATATTGAGTTGGCTTTTTTGATCAATACTACAATAAAATTCTCACGTCCACTTGACCGGAATAGCGTATATTTTAAAGATTCCACTAATTCTTCAGTTGCGCAGACGGTTGTAACACAAAATCACTAATTTTATTTCACAATATCCACTATGAACAATAATTAAAATAAGACGCCAACCGCACTCGATGAAATCCCGCCAAAATATCCATTACCTTTTTTGTAATGTTCTTCCTAAGTTAAGGCAAAGCATGCATGTAATCTGTACCTATACAGTTTTATATTTAGGATATTGGTGTTTCATCATCCAGGCCGGATATATTCCTCTTTTCTAGGCACACCATCAAACATATAGTATTAAAGAGCTTACAATACCGTGGAAAACTAATATTCCAAATGGCCATACAATAAAACTGAGTAAATATAATGATCTAACCAATGAACTAACTAAAAATGGCTAACTAGTTAATTTATATGCGGTAGAAGTAGGAGCGAGAGGTATACCAGCAAAATCTCACTATAATCTTCTAAAAGACATAGGCTTGTTGAGAACTGTAGTAAGTTCAATTTTGGAACGAGTAACTAAGGCTGCACTAACAGGCTCCTATCAAATTTGGCTAGGAAGGATGGGAACTTGAGCAATAAAGGTGAGCGTTGATGCACATCTTAAAGGGGGCCTCGTTAAACTTACACCTGGGTCGCAAGTCCCGGGATCTGCTCAGAGTTTCTTTCTCTCCTTATATACATTGGACCCGACACCCGCACGGTGAATCCATGGATTGCTAAGAAGTTCGTCTCACTAAATGGAAAGTAAATATTTTCACAGCTCCTCATCTTCATTCTGCTTCACTCCGCTCGTCTCCCTCTTTGCACAGTTCCATTCAGCACAGCTCTACTTCTGTTTAACCGCACTATAAGACGCCAACCACACGCAATGAAATACCGTCTATAATCCGACATCAACTTGGGCTAGACACGTTTTTTACTGGAAAAAGAACTCCTCTCCTCTGCTATGCTCTGTGTGATATCCTCTCTGGGGATCATATAAAGGGGCGGCAAATGGTAAGCGGCCCTGGGCGCCAAAAACACCCCTGAGTAGATCATATCAGTGTTAAACCAGGCTCTACAATCTCAATACATTTGACATGTTTCAGACAGTGCAAACACCCTACTGAGTTATAAATGCATCATGTTTCTTAAAAAATCCCATCAGTAAAATGCTTTTGAAATTAGTCGTTTTATATATTAATATTTCTGTGTCTTGGTCACAGGTAGCGTTGATGTGCAATATAAAACAATAAAATTAAAAAAAAGTAGATTTACATAATTTGTCAAGGTGTTTGGTGTTCTTTTAAATTTTGTAATATAATATTAGCATAGAATATTACCATATCAAACTTTTATCTACCAAAAAGGCATTTTTTTAAATATGCGCATTAATAATTATTCAATGCTTTTAGAGTAATATTTTAATTTACATTTACATATTTCAAAATAATTAAAAAATAAGATCTAAAGGACTTTTATTTAATTTCGAATGAATGTGATATTTTATTTTCGACGTTAAAAATAGTAGCTTTAATAATTGTTTCTGATGGCAACATTGGATGTGGAGTTAATAGATGTAAATGTAAATATAATTCCTCAAAGGATATTTGAACAAAATGATCTATTACAGCTATTTGAAAAGCTACCATCCCACTACAATATTTATACAGATGGATCTAAAACTACAGACACTGTAACTTCTGCTTTCTATGACCCCCAAGTTAAACTTACTAAATGTTTTAAGTTAGATAATAACTGCAGCATATTTACTGCAGAATGTTATGCAATATATAGAGCATTATTGTACATAGAATATGTAAATAATATAGACTTTATGATAATAACGGACTCTCAAAGTGTTTTGTCTAGTTTAGGAAATAACGTATTTAGGCATAATTTAAATTACTTAATTTTTTATATAAGAAATCAATTACACATTTTGCAAAACAAAGGGAAGATGATCAAGTTTCTGTGGGTCCCATCACACCAAGGCATAACTGGTAACGAGGTTGTAGATAACGTTACCCATAACAAACCTGATGAAGATCATACTCAAATTTGCAGAGTACCGTACACCGACTTTAACACTTATTTAACTGAGTCCCACAAACTGTTGTGGTCCAATTATTGGCATCATGTTGCTTCAGAGAAAGGGAAATGGTACCACGACATACAGAAGACATTGCCCGCCCGTCCGTGGTATCATCCTAAGCAACTTAAAGGAAATTTAAACCGTAACTTTATTACCACCACCTGCCGCATGAGATTTGGTCACTGTAAAATTCCTGCTCATCTACACAAGATCCGAATTGCCAGAGATTCCAAATGCATATTCTGCGAAGAGGAAGGAGCAGACTTGAATCATCTGATTCTGAAATGCCGTCATCAAGATTTTAAATTAAACAGACTTTTACTGGTCAGTGAACTAAGTGACATTGACAGCTTGAATAACGTTTTATCAAGTGATATTAGTGATGACAATATTCTGCCTAAACTGCTCAATAATACATTAAGTTTTAAACCGCTTGTTAAATATTTAAATAATTCAAATATAACGTTATAAAATTATCAACACAGAAGAATGGGGAAAACTTTGAACGAAGAAAGGAAAACCTTCCTGGTCCGGCAGAAAAGGGCTAGAACCCAGTGCCGTAAAACCAAAATAGAAAAAAAAAAAAAAAAAAAAAAAATTGTTATGTTTGAAAATAAAAATGCCGATCACTGTTGTTTGAGTGATCTATCTTGCGCTTGCGTTTCGTCTTCATATCATACTTCAGTGACTCGAATATTTTGTTGTTTTCTGCCAAGTTCGTTGAGTAGAGCAATCCTCCGGCTTGGCTGAAATACGAATTGTACTTTGAGTGTTGATTTTGTGCGAGATAGGACTCTTGTGTGCTATTGTGCATCTCATCATGTCGAAAAGAAATTGCTGTGTTCCTGGATGTCCAGAGAGTGGAGGTTAGTTCAACAATCATTGCTGAATACATTGCTTCCTTACTATCCTTTACAAATGAATGTCTATATTGTTCGGGAATGTTCAACAATGATTACAACCTGAAAGGCTTCTAACTTCAATAACTGATTACACAAGATGTTTATACTTATGTAAAAGAGCATCATCAGTAACAATGTTACACATTCAATTTTCTCACTGAGATGACCCACACTTAAATACAAAAGTTCAACTATAAAGATTTTTTTTATAATTTTAAAATATTATTCTTAACGGTTTTTTTCATTGATCACCTAAAATGTTGATGTTCTTGTCTGTATTTAAAATCCAACATAAATTAAACTGCTACATTTACAAGAAAATATGTAGATTATTACTTATTTTATTAAATGATAGGTTTATTCATATGTACTTGATCATTAGTAACAATTAAGACCCCATTGAAACATCTTTTTGGCATCAACATTGAATCAAGAGTTTTTGGTAAAACAATGTTGTGTTTAATGTTGCAGTATCCAATTCCATATTTTTGTGTTTTTTATTTGTTAAGTAACTATGCCTACTTTTTTTTCAGATTCGCATCCTGTTCTACATGCATTTCCTAATCCTGAGAATGATCTTGATCGATTTCGATCATGGGTACTTGCAATTGGTGGTGAAATATTAGGTCTGGACAACACTTGGATTTATAAAAACCGTCGAGTTTGTCATCAACATTTTGAAAATCATTTCTGCTACTACTCTAACAAGCTCAGTCGATTGGCAATCCCAACAAAAAAAATACCAGGTTAGTTCACAGTTTATTGTACATAACTTTACTATAAATATACTTTAAATGCTGGCTAAATAGGCAAATTAAATGGACATAGCGATTACATTTAATTAAATTTGTTTATTTTAAATTTAGTATGAAAAATCATTATCTTTGTATTTACCCTTTACCATTACATTGAGAAGTGTAATTTTATTTTTTTTGATTAAATACTGATTTGGGTATTATTGCATTTTAGGACCTTCAACAATATCAAAGTTTACTTTTAGTGGACAGAGATCTATGACAGACGTTGAAGAGAATATGCCATCAACATCAAAAGGTAATATTAATATCTGCTTAACTTAAGATGAAAAACTAGCTTAGACATAATATACACAAAAACTATAAATATAAAATGTACCTAGTTTTAATTAATTACTAGCAGCGGTCCCTAGCTAAAAATAAAGTTACACTGAGCAAAAAGTTTTTACACAGTTTTGAAGCTGATTTATTAACAATCTATTTTGTTTGTTCTTGAAATTGTACTGTTATTACTTAAACTAACATATATTTTTGTTACATACAGACCATTAAAACTTATAACACTAAGTGGGCTGATAGATTTGTCCAGAAGTCTATATAGGTACCAAATTTCATCCAAATCCGTTCAATACTTTTTGCATGATTCAGTAACAAACATACAAACTTTCATATTTATAATATTTGTAAGATACATTAAAAAATAAAATGTATGTATATGCATATATTCTGTATAATTGAAAGTCGTTTCTGTGGAATTATAACACTACACTACCTAAAACACATTAATCATACATTCAGATCTGATAGTGACAGATTTATAGTTGTTTATCATGATAAAATAATGATTATAGTGTAGTATAGAGTATATTTGCATATGTTCCAGCTTCCTGTGGAATCTTTGACATGGATATTGATGATGAAAAACTAAAGACTGTGCAAAGTTCT